AATTAGTGTACTCTGGGAATTGAGCAAGGGTATCTTCAAGAAAGACGCTTATCCCGGGGAAAACATTTGGGAAAAGACTTCTGGCCACAAAAAGTGTTTACAAAGGAAAAACCTTATCACACAGTTGGACAGATGTCCTGAAGGGAGTATCTGGCAGGACCTATCCTTTGTTTAAAGGGATGTTCAGACATTCTATGTTGTAATGACCAACACTGAGTAAGTGGGCCAGCCCTGCAATCTTTGGGCCCAATTGATAAAACAGTGTAACAGCAAGACTGATTAAATATACAAGGCATCAGAACAAAGGGGAGCACTTATCCTAAGGTAAATTTGAGCTAAACACCCCACCTGCTTTTTCATCCCAAACATCCCTGATGTTGGAGCCCATTGCACCTGTTATCAGACATGCCTGCACCCATGTCTGGGCTGTATACTGTCTTTCTATCTTCCTTTGCATTGCTTTACTAATAAACTTTCTTGGTCTCTACCTCAATGTGTCCTCAAATTCTTTTTTTGTGACAGCATCACAAACCTGGTACCCAAGGGCCAGCTGGAGGCCTCCACCCTTTTGGAGACTTTGCTGGAACCTCACTAGTTCTGACCTCACAAACCTCATGTCACTGCACCCTCACCAGGACCAAGAGAGGGAGACATTCAGCACTCTTTTATGGAGTAGTGATGATGGTGACAGTGATAGTGACAAAGATTGTGATGATAGTGTTGGTGATGGTGACATTACACATCATGAGTGTTTTATGCCCAAAATGTTTCAGACTCTTCAGATAGATTCTCTTTTTAAACTTTCACAATATCCCTATGCAGAATAGAGTCCTTATTGCTTCCATTGGACAGACCAGGGCACCAAGACTCAGGGAAATGAGTGGTCCACCCAGGGTCACAGCAGGGAAAGCATGCATGAGGACTCACCCCGGAGACTGACTCAAACCTCACACTGTGGCCGTGCACCACCCAGGGGGCTGTGAGCCTGCCAGGGCCAGCCTTGATCTAAGCTCCATTATTCCCCAGCCTTGAGCCCTGAGCCCGCACACAGTAGGTGCTCAGGGAAGATCTTTTGGGAATGGTTTGTGCGCCATGATTTGTAGACATTGACACCTCCTCTTTTTGGGCCCTGTGTGTACCAGTCATGAAACATATGCCCATAAATGAATCTGGGCAATTGCTGGCCAGCCCAAATCCAAGTGGCCAGATCTTGGAAGAATCATGTCTGGGATGTCCCCATCATATTTTCCAACAAGTCATACCCCTCAGAACTTGCCATCCCATCTCACACAAATCCCCCATTGACCCAGGGCCCTGGGACTGGATGTTTCCTGGGCTGCATTCCTCAATGGGTGAGGACCTTGGAACTCTGGGGTGGGAAAGGCCTGAACACCCTCAGCTCACCCTGCCCAAGTCTTTCAAGGAAGAAGGCAGGTGGAGGCAGTGACAGGGTGGGGGAGGGGTCGCTTTGATCCATTGCCAAAGAGGGGGGGAAGGAACCCACTTTCTCCAGGCAAGCTGTTCGCTTACCAGCTGACTTTGGTAAAAGAAAGAAAAATTCCTAGCACCATCTGTTCCCAGTGCGGGGCTGGTGTGGGGCCTGGGGCTTCCTGTGGCTCAGGCGGCCAGACCCAGTTTCAGAATCCGAGACAGCTGCCCCGGGATTATTTTGGGAAGCGGCTCAACTCTGAGGCACCCCGGCCTTCGAGGCATTTCCCGTCACTGCAAAGCTGTTTGCACACCCAGCCCAAGGCTGCCAGCTCCTCCTCTGGCCCTGGACGCCTTCCAATTCAGCCCACTATAATTATCCAGCTTCCAACTCTGCTGTGACTGCAACTGGATCAGATTTCTCGGGATGGAGGGAGAAAGGGAGAGCACTGGCGACAGACAGGGGGCCCCAGCCTCTTCTCCCCCTCTTCACCCCCTCTTCCTACCTCCTAAGAAGTCACATCTCCCACCACCCCCAAGCTCCAGGATCCCCAGGCATCCACCCTTCTCCCATGGAACATCCCTTCCCCAGCTCCTCCAGGGATGTCCCCCTTCCCTTTGTGAATGAGGTGTTTCTGGGTGGGTGGTTTGAGGGCGTCTTAGGCAGAAGTGACATCAGGAAGGCCTGGAGAATGCCTGACAGTATGTTTCACTCGTGCCAGGCAAGGTTGGGGTGGGAGGGAGACGGGGTGTGGTGAGCAGAGGACCACAAAACCAGCAGTGCTGGTGCTGCCTGGAGGCAGCCATGAGACCAAATTCTGAGACAGGAGTTCTCAGCTGCTGGGGAAAAACTGAAGTCAGAGGGGACAAGGCAGGAGGACCAGCAGCCTGGACTTCGAGGGCAGAGGGAGGACTGAGTGTGAGTTGGAAAGGTGAGCAGGGAAGAAGGGATGGACTTGGTGCCCAGGGTGGGGACAGTGGGCCACAGGTCTCAGGTTTGGAGGCCAGATGCCGTACAGGCCAACCAAGGAGACGGCAGGGCAGGGTGAGGATGGGGGAGCTCTGAGTTGAGTGTGTTGAGTCAGGAGTGGCACCCCCATTCCTGGAAGGGGGAGTGTGCTCTGAGCACAAAATGTAGTCAGAAGGTAAAACAGTAGCTGCTGAGGGGGGGAAGGGGGCAGAGTGGAGAAATGACCCAAACAATATATGCACATGTGAATAAATGAATAATTAAAAAAAAAGAATGGTGGCTGCAGGGACTGGGGAGGAGGGGATTGTGAACTAATGGGGACAGTTTCAGTTTTGTGAGATGAAGGGTTCTAGAGCTGGGTGGTGGTGAGGGTTGCACAACGACTTGATACACTGAATACTTCTGGGCTATAGTTAAATAGTCCATTTTGTGTTATGTGTATTTTACCAATTAATAAAATAGAAGAAAGACAAAGAAACATGGGGCTAGAGGTGATCTGAGATCAGAGTGACCCTTGGAGACAAGAGGTGGGAGCTGGAGAGGCAGGAGTCATCACAAGGAAAGACGTTGGTATGAGAAAGGCAAGACACAACACTCCTTCCTCCCGGAAGGTAGGGAGAAAGGAGCCCAAGAAACCCAGGGGAGATAAAAGGGGAAGCAGGGAAATCTGGGGCCAGGAGTGGAGGGGAAACCTGGACCAGTGATGCCTAGTGAGTGTAGACTGAAACTCAGCCAGCTCTGGCACCGCAGAGGCTCTGTCCTCCAGTCATAGTGGAATTGCAGGGCTTCCAGCTGTCCCCACCCCCAATTCTCCAGACAAAACATTTACAAGACATGGGACAACAGGCAGAACAGGAGGTGGCCCGAGAGGGAGAAATATGAGGCAGGCCCTTTGAGGGCCTCAGCTCACTGCCTGCAGACAGTTCCTGGCCTGGGCATTGGGCAGCAGACCCCAAACACAGCCTAGAGTGGAGGAGATGGAACGTGTGGGGCAGTCCCCAGGGAAGAAGGAAGGACAGAGAGCTCCCCAGAGATCTGCAGGAGCTGCCCTTAACCTGCTGTCAGGCATTGGTTTCCATGTGCATCTGAGGAAAAGAACCACAGAAAGGAGTGGTAAAATGATTACTGGAGTACAAGCAGAGCATAGTCTGTGATCCCACTAGCCAGAGGGAAAAGATCTCCAAACTCACAGAACATGGAAAGGTCCTCAGAGACTTCTGCCTGCATGATGGGGCCAGAGACATCCCTAACCACAGCCTGCTCTGGGCCCACCCTAACAAGACGTCAAAGTGATCCTCAGAAAAGATCAGACCGACTTCAATAACCCAACTGCACCTCAGAAAGGGCTGAAATGCAAGTAAAGAAATATTGTCAAAGAAACCCAGTGCTCAACAATGCAAATTTTCACTAAGTCCAGCATCCAATTAAAAACTACCAGGCTCAAAAACAAAAGTAGAAAGCCATGAGTCCTCACGATGATACTTCTGGACAGAAATAACACAGACGACACAGTCAGTAGACATGGACATTGAACATCATAAGTACCCCCGTATGTTCTCAGAGGTAAGAGGAAGCATGGATGTGGTGAGGAGAAAGGGGGAAGATGTTTGAAGTGACCGAAGTTGAACCTCCTGGGATGAGACACAACTTCTGAAACGGAAAACACACTGGATGGATTAAAACAGAGTGGACACCACCAAGAAAACACCAGTGAGCTTGGAGCCACAGCAACAGAACACGGGAAGCAGAGCAGGAAGAGAACAGAGGCTGACAATGAAATGACAGACCACCTGCCCAGCATGCGAGAGGCTCTGGGTTCCAGCCCCAGCACTGCAGAAGAAAATGCAGACAGCACCCACGATTTGTGTAACAAGCTCAAACCGTCTCGCAAATGTGTACTTGGAGTCCAAGCAGAGGAAGACAGAAAAAAATCCTTGAAGGGTACAAGAGGTTTTGATGATCCCTCTTCACAGGGAAGAGGGAGAGAACTCTCAGTCCCCAAGTGAGAGCCCCTGGGGTAGCTTTGCTTGTGACAGCTTCCAGGGATATCTGCACAGGTGGGTTGGGCATTTGGGCTGTCAAGGGAGTGACGAAAGAAAAATAAAAGTAAAAAAATATATATCCAAAGAAATAATGGCCAAAGTTTTCCTTAATTTTGTGAAAGTCATAAACCCATAGAATCAGAAGATTCAACAAACCCAAAGTAGGAGAGACATAGACAACTGACACCAACACTCATCACACAGCTGCCCCTCAGTGTCCACAGGGATTGGTTCCAAGGAGACCGCTGGTGAGAGAAACCACAAATGCCCCGGATGCAGAGTTCAGTGCTGTCCACCTCTACTGTATCTACTGAGTACGGTAAGGTAGGTCAAGCATCCATAACCCGGAACTGCATGGAGCAGGCTGGAAAACTGACCCAAAATTACTCTTAAGCACATTAATGCTGCTCACAAAAGGCCACCCAAATTCCGCTAAAGACACCCCGCCTTCATCGAAGCGAACGTGTAGGTGCTGGAGGAGGGCTGACCCGAGGACTGGTAGGTTGAGGAAGGCTTCTCCTCATACACCGATTGGCGCCAGTTAGTAAAGGACGTGAGGCTGCAAGCTCGGAGTCTTTCTCTCCCACGCGTGTGCTCGCCCGCCTGCCTCTGCCTCCGTGGTTCCTTCACCTTGGACTTCCCAGCCTCCAAAACCGTAAGAAATTAATCTCTGTTCTTTACGCATTACTCAGTCTTGGGTGTCTCGTTAGAGCATCAGAAAGTGAGCTAAGAAGTCTTTCAGGTGGGAGGAAACTGATGGCAGATGGAAGACACAAAGAGAAGCAGAAATGGCCAATGTGTAAATAGAAGACTGCCTTCTCAGCTTTTCAAAATCTCTTTCAAAGACATTGACTTTTTAGGCACACATAACATATGGTGAAATCTGTGGCATATCCAGACAATGGTGCTATACTCAGCAATAAAAAACAATGGGTTATTGACCTAAGACACAGAGGGCTGATGTCAGGGTGAGAAACCAGACATCAAAGGCTACACCCTGTCTTGTGCAGTTTATAAGAAATTCTAGAAGAGACAAAACTGTGGTGACAGAAGGAAGATCAATGGTTTCCAGAGCCAGGGGCTTGCCGAGGGGCTGGCTCAGCGGGGCACACAAGAACTGTGGGCTGATCCGTCTGTCAGGGGGTTGCACAACTGTATACATTCGTCAGAACTTATCACACTGTACAATTAAAATTGGGAAGTCTCACCATTTGTAAATTACTCTTCAATAAACCTGCAAAATTAATTTGCTATGATTTAAATTTGCTATCAAATGGGTGAGCTGGGTGCCAGTGGCTCACACTTGTAATCCTAGCTACTTGGGAGGCTGAGATCAGGAGGCTCATGGATCAAGGGCAACTCAGACAAATATTTGTGAGACCCCCCAACTCCAAAATAACAGGAACAAAAATAACAGGAACAAAATAACAGGAACTGGAGATGTGGCTCAAGCAGTAGAGCACCTGCTTTGCAAGTGGGAAGCCCTGAGTTCAAACCCCTATCTCCCACACACAAAAACAGGATGAGGTGAGGCTCAGAGTGGCTGGGTATTGCCAACCTGCAGGGGGTGAAGCTTACCTGAGGGAGGGGTAAAGACCCCCAGGAAGTGGGGCATCCTAGGATGCTCCAGGTGGATGACATGTTGAAGGGATATCATCATGGAGAGGCTACCTGAGCAGATGGGAAGAGCTGAGCTCCAGGTACAGAGGGGGCACACCTGGTATGGGATAGAGACATGTCCCAGAGGCAGCAGGGAAGGGGTACAGATGAGGAGGTATACCTCGGATGGGACTGAAAGTTCACAGGGTGCAGCTCACAGGTGGGTAAGGGGCCAGGTGGAGGGAAGGTTCAAGACCCCCTCACAGCAGATACCAACTCCCAGGCTGGCCTGGTACTACATTCCTTGGCTCCCCCATCACTCCAAGCTTCTCCAGCTGGCCTGGCAGAGGTGGCCTGGCCCACCCCACACCCACTCCCAAGTCCCTCCCAAAGCCAAGACTGTCAAAGTAACAACCCCAAACCTTGGGGTTCTCCTCTCCCTTGGGGCTTGGAACTGAGAGGAAGGAGGGTAGCTTGGCACCCAGGGCCCAGTCCCAACCCGCCATCAGCCTCCCTGCATCTCTGCACCCCACACCTCCTCCCAACTGCTTCCCACTAGACGTCAGTGCCTGTGCGGCTTGGGAAGCCAGGGCTGGAAGGACTGTTGAATTCTTCCACAAGTTCCTTTTTCTTTGCCAAATACTCAATGATGGCTCCCTGGAGTCAGCCTGGAGACAGAACTGTGCCCACTGGTCAGCCACAAGATTTCTTCTGTGTGACTTTGGGGCAAAACTCACGATCACAGCTGTCGGGTTGGCCTGGGCCATGGTTCCTTTGGCAAGAAACCAAATTTGCTTCTCCGAATAGGCGGGGACTTGGTTTTGGAGCCATACAGGGGCCTGGCTGATGATCCTGCAACTGTCACCCTGAATGGGGGGCAGGCAAGCAGCTGAATGTGGAGAACTGGGGCTGGGCCTCTGGGAACCTTGAGCCCCAGGGAAGTTCGCTGCCAGTACCTGTGCAGATCAGCTAGCTGTGTCCACCTGCAGCACCCTGGGACGGAAGCAGCCTTCATCACCTTTAGGGAACTCCCAGGGCGCTGGCAGGCTCCCAGAGGCCCCCAGGAGAGCTTTGGTAAAAAAACCAAGCAAGACAGGTATCAGCTCAAAACAGATGCACGCCATGTGAGTTCAAAGGCATTCATGCAGCTGGGCACAGGAGAGGGTGGGAGAGACGATGTGTCACAAACACAGAGGAGCTCAGCTGGACTGTAGGAGGACCTCAGGAGCACTGGACCCCTCAGCTGGCCCAGATAGCAGGTCTGGCTTTGGGAGGACAGTAACAATTAATTTGGGGTTCCACGGGGTGCTCTGTCTGCATTTGCTTTCAGCTTGTGCTTGGAGAAGAGGCCGTAAAGCACACGGAGTGTGCTCTTAGCATCCTTATTCACGATGTCTGCGGGCAGAGGGAGAGGGGCAGATGGTCAGCCAGGTCAGGGGTGACCAACTGTCCTGGTTTTGCCAGGGACAGAGAGGCTTCCTGAGAGGTGGCACTGTTGGTGTTAAAACAGGGACAATCTCTGGCAAACCAGGACAGAGGGTCCTACTGGGCCTGAGTCCCAGTACCTAACACAGGCCTTGTCTCCCTCTTCCCATCCGGAGCCTCCCCAGCACCCTTCTTGTCCCTTTCAGTAGAGCAGTTCTGAAGGTCTGGCTTCTCTGGGCGCCTGTCCCAGGGACCCCCGCCCCCCACCCCTGCATGCAGATGCGGTCTCCACAGCACCCCCCAGAGGAGACCCCGGCAACTGCTCCTTATGGACCTGCAGCAGGACTCCACCAAGGCCACCTTGTCCCCCGCCTTGCACCTGCTCTGGGGCCCTGCCCTAAGGCCAGACACCCAGACAACAGGCCACAGCACACTCGCCTTCAGGGCTGATGGGGTGGCTGAGCAGGCCTTCTTCCTTCAGCAGCTCCAGTGCCAGGGTGACATTGTGCAGCTACAAGGAGAAGCTCGTTAGATGTGGCGTCCATGTCTGCCCAAGGTGAAATCTGTCACAGATGGGAATCTCACTCCCTCACTCTAGGGGCCACGGTCAGCCCTCAGTCACCCTTAGCCCTGCTCTGAGCAGGTGCCACACACTGCCTATATGCATGACCAAGAAGGCCGCCTCTACTGGGACTGTTGCCAAGGAGGTGTGTTGGGTGGGTAGAGGGTTGCCAGGGAAGGCTTCCTGGAGGAGGTGACATCTGGAGGTGAGTCTGCCAGGTAAGAGGACTTCAGTAGAGAAAGAAACAAGGCCCAGTAGGTAATAGAGACCTCTCAGAAACATCAGGTTTCAGGACAAAACTTAAATTAGAAATAAGGGCAAAATAGTTTCTGCTGGGTATTGAGGCGGGGGGAGAGGGAGAGGGCGGAGTGGGTGGTAAGGGAGGGGGTGGGGGCAGGGGGGAGAAATGAACCAAGCCTTGTATGTACATATGAATAATAAAAGAAAAAGGAAAAAAAAAAAACTTAAATGGAGACCAAGGCTTGGTGTGGCCAAAGTGCTCATCTATACCACAGCACAGAAAGTGGTAAAACCAGGTCTGCCTTACTTGAGCCTGTGCCAAGCAAGCTGGAGGCTGGAAGAGCCACCCCTGCCCAATGGCTGTCCCTAGGAGACCTCTCTGCCTGGCTGGAGCCTCACACTCAGCTCCCTGCTGAGTGGAGGGTGCCGGGGCCTGTGTCAGGCCTACGCAGGTTCAGGACCACACTGGGTCATGTGTAGCCTCTGACCCATCCTTGGCCTCTAGCCTCTACTTGATGCAAGCTGCCTCCCCCATCTCCCTGTGTCTTGAGCTGGAATGTGATGAGAGACCCAGGGCTTTGTACACTGGACTCAGGGAGACCATCCTGTAGACCTCCTGTCCATAGGTCCACCCCGGGGGTTGGACTCTCCAGCATGGGGCCCCATGCCTGGTCCTGTTACCTCCCCACCCACTGCAGCTTCAGACAGCCAGGTCCCGGGCAACCCAGTGGAAGCCACAAGGCCAGCGTGGAGGAGCATCAGATGAACCAAGCCAAGCAAGACTCGGCCGGGGGTGCCAGCCCTACCCAAGCTGTCTCCAGTCATCTACTGGCAGGTCAGGCAGGAGGAGACTTGGGATCTGGGTTGGATGTTTTTGGAACCACCCTTCCAAGTTTATGACCTCAGACAAGTCACAGATACTGGCTGGGCCTCAGTTTCCTCATCTATACACAGGGGAGAGCACATCTGTCTCTCCAAGGAGTCAGGTGGATCAAACATTATGACGGACACAAAGCCAGATTTGAAGGTGGAGAAAAGGAAGCCATTAGCCAGAAGGCGATGAGCAGAATCCCTCTGTACTTGGACATTGTGGGAGCAGTGAGGCGGAGGGCAGGTCCAGGATGTAAAAGAGAACAGGCTAAGGTGGACTGTCTCTCTAGGACTGGTCAGGAAGAAGAAACAGGTGCTGGGCAGTGCCAGTGCCCTCCAGCAGGGGGCGCCCCTCTAGCTGTCCAGACCAAAAGGGAAGGAACTCTCCTGCAGACCAGAGCTCCATCACTTACTCCTGTCACTATGTCCTAGAGCCTCCCCTGCCCCTGCTGGAATATTCTGAGCAGGGAGGATTTGCAACTGTTGCTAGCGTCATGTTTGCATCACAAGCATCAAGTGCAGGTCACACAGGGAGTAAATATCACAGTGAGATGAAGAGGCTGAGAACCCGGAATCAGCACCCTGTTCTCCCCCTGGAGGTCAAGTCTTGATGTCCTTGATGACTGGCATCTCCACAAACAAGATCCAGGATGTCGAGGGAAACTGTACCTGAGGCCAGATAGTTTGGGAGAAACTGTGGGGCTGAACAAAATAATATAGAAGTTCTTTGCCGCAAGACTTCTCAGAGCCTTGAACGTGTTACTATGTGTCAAGAAGATGCATACATGTTTCCCCAAGTTATTTGATCATACGACCTGTTTGTCACAGAATACCTTGGGGACCCATGTTTTAGAAACACCTCATTTGCTCACTCATTTGAAAAGTATTTGTTGAGCACAGCCTATGGGCTAGCCACGCACAGGAGCCAAAAACAGACCAACTCCTATCTTGGTGGAGTCCATGCTTTGGGAATTGCTGCTGGTGACTCTAAAACTGATCCCATTAGCTTCTTTATCACTTTTCCCCAACAAGGCTCATTCGGAACTGATGATCTTCTTCCAGAATGGCTGACTGGTTCCAGAACTGTCGACCTGCTCCCCGCCGCCCCCCCCCGCCCCCCCCCCCTGCGCATCCCTTTCTTCTGGGCACAGTTTGAGATGATGAAGCGAAGCACTGCTGCTCCACAGGATGAGGGAGGACATGTGACCTGGGAGGACATGCTCCCTTCTTCAGGGACAGATAATTGAATGTGGAGGAAGCCTGCAATTCCTGGCTCTGGTGATTTCTGCAGAGCAAATGATCCCCGTCCCTAACTTCTACTCCAGAAATGAATGACAATCTCACGTAAACAGCACAGGCAATCCAGGTCTGATAATGAAAAATCCAATTTCCAGAGGCCTCTCTGCCAAGATAACAATCCCACAGGCATCGCCCACCTTTGGAGAGGGCTGTTGTCACCGCCACCTTCCCCTAATGACTCTCAGTGTTTGCAGCGCACATTCCTGCCGCACTGAGTTGCCTCGATAGGTCCATCTGAGCAGAGAGGCTGTGTGTCTCCCCTCCATGTTGCTGCCTCACCTTTGAAAGCAGGTTCGAAACTCTGTGCACTCAGAGCTAGCTGGGCACGGGAGGCTGGAAGCCTGTGTGTTTGTGCCGATTGTGTAACTGGGGTTTGCAGCATGCAAGGTAGTGAACATGGACCACGAGTCCTGAGGAACACAGCACCTGAGGGCCAAGGAGGCCCCATGCCTCAAGAGTCTGGGTTCTGAGCAACTGCTGCAAGGGACCCCTCAGCTCAGGAGTCCTGCCCCTCTCTTCTCCAGCCTCTCCTCCTTGTTCAGGCTTCCACGTCCTGCCTTGTAGACATAAATCTACAGCCCCAGAGCCCCGCCCCCTCCATCCCATGGGGCTCCTCCTCTGCTGTGAGAGGGATCAGGAAGCAGCAAGGGTTTGGAGATAGGTAAGCCCACATGCCAGCTGGACCTCTTGTCCTAACTCGCTGTGTGCTCTCAGGCAGATTACTGTGCCTCGCTGAGCTCACTTTCCTCCTGTGGAAGTGGAGATGGGAAGAGTTCCCAACAGAGGCCCACTCTGCACATTTGTTAGCTCATTACCAGTGCCTGCAGGGGAGCCCCCCCACTGGCCCCGTTCTGCACCCACACACTGCAGGTTCCCGCACCTCCCCACCCAGGCCCCAGTGAACTCTGGCCAACAGTGAGCTGGAAGGGGCAGGGCGCCGGCTTGGTCCAAGCCTCACATGCTTTGTTGGTCTCGTGTCTCTGCCTCTGCTGGGAGAAAACATGCCAGGCTGGATGCCAGTCCCAGGAGAGGTCTGAGAGGCATGTAACTGAGGGACAAAAGGCCAAACCCCCGCCAACCCTTGGGCAAGTGAAAGAACCCCACTGAGCCTCCACCAGCCAAACTCAGATGACTCGCAGGTCCATGAGAACAAACCACTGTGGTTTTCACACACCACCCAGTAAGACTGTATGTTACACAGTGCTTCTGAGGTGATGACTGACTGACACAGTGCTCCTGAGTGTTCAGAACCAAGTGAGCGCAACCACTACTCCTACCACGGCTGCAGGACTACAACCACTTCCTTGCCCCCAGCCTGAGCCCTGAGTGGATCTTTAAGTCAGGGGCAGACTGCAACCTACAGAGGCAGTGCCCACGCCACTTAAGGTGACACCTCTGTGGTGGCAAGGTAGGCTGAGCTCTGCAGCCTGGTCCTGTACAAGACTTGTGGCAAGTCAGCTGAGTGGTCCAGGAAGACTGTTGACTTCCAGGTCCTCATCTTGCCCTCTGTAAAATGGGGATGAGACCCCGCCCTGCCCCTGTTCCAAGGAGTGGAACAACAGTGAGATGGGCAAAGACTCAGGTCAGCAGTCCTCAGGAAGGAAGAGGAGTCATGTCCGTCGAGCGGCCTACAAAGGGCTGAGGGTACATGGCAGAAATAAAAAGGTGGTCGGAGGCAAATGCCTTGGGAGGGGGGCATTGTCGCGGGAGGCAGGCGAGGCCCAGAGATACCAGTGTAGCAAGAGGATAAGAGGAGACCTGGCAGGATGAGGGAGAGGCCTGGAAGAAGGCTCTGATTTGGAGTCTGGTGAGACCCCAGGAGGACTCAGCCTGCAGCAGGGGGTGGGGGGGCAAACAGGCTAAAAGGCCTAACCCAGCCCCTGCACACACTTGAGAGGGAGGACAGGACTCTCCCCTCCCCAGAAACAGCCCCAGTCTGGTCCTGGGCACAGTCAGCAGCCCTACTTGATGTCTTCCTAACAAGCAAAGGGCACTGCTACAGAGATAAACAGGCTTCCTGTCCTGGTGTGCACGGAGATAAGCTGGCCACCTGGGGTTCTGGGCAGGCCACCAGTTGCCCGCGTGCCAGCCCATCCCTCAGCTCACTCCAGCAGCTCTTCCTGGGGCTGACAGAAGCTGGGTAGACTCCCAATGTCCATAGCCAGGTGCAGGTCCAGGGAACTGGGGATCCACACTCTCCAAGCTTCCCCCTGGAAGGCTCTCCACGCTCTCACTTAGTCCCCACATGGCCTGGTGGTGGCCAGGGCAGGCATTGGCAGCCACTTCAGAGACAAGAAGCCCAAGGTGCAGACAGTAGATGGCTGCACAGCAGGGAGGACCCAGGTTCTCATCAGCAGGGAGTGCTCACGGCCTCTTCCCCAGGTGTCCCTATGGGCCCCCGTGTCCTCATCTGGAAGGCAGTGGGGAGCTCTACCTCACCAGGTAGCTCTACATCCTGGTAGCCCAGAGATGGGAGAGCCCAGGAGTGCGCAAGCTGCCAGCTGCAGCAGGGCCTAGGCCTAAGGAGTGGAGGAGGGCATGAGGGTTCTGTGGGAAAGACGCGGTCGCCGATCCTTTCCTGAGCTCAACCTGCCTCTCCCACCTCCCCTCTTAATCCCTCTCAGCTTGTCATTCGCCATCCTGTCAGACCATGGCCCCTCCTGCCTGGACTGACGCAGGGTTGCCCAGCAGATGTAGCTTCCAGGATCCATGTGGGACTCCTCACACTGTACCCCCAGGCCCACCCCTGCAGTCCAGTGAGCCAAGATCCCATCCTAAACCCTTCTGAGCCTTTTTTGAGGCTGTTCCCTCCTCAGGAATGCCCTTCCCTTTCCTCCTCAACTCTGAAAACAAACCCTCATCACACTCCAGGCCACCCTGATACGATTGCCTTCCCTAACACCTTCAGGTGTGTGAACATGTTTCATTCCAGTCCTCTGGCCTCGTGCATCATGAACCAATGCGTCCCACTGTGACCTGGAAACCATACCCTCCGGGGTACAATCAGGGGAGGCGGGGAGGTTCTGAAAACCTGAGCTGCACTGAATGTCTTCATGGTCCATGCAGCTCAGGCCCTCGAGGAATGAGGAATCAAGTGTGTAGGTGGACTGGGTGAGTGGATACATGGATGGTTAGATGGATGGACAGATGGGAAGATGGGTGAATGGCTAGGTGGATAAATGGAGGGTGGGAGTGGATGGGTGGACTGATGGGTAGGTGGGTGGGTGGGTGGTTGACTGGGTGGGTGATTGCATGAGTGGATGGGTTGAATGCATGGGTAGATGCATGGATGGATGGGTGGGTGATTGGATGAGTAGGTGAATGGATGGATGGATGGAAGGATGGATGGATGGATGAGTGGGTGATTGGATGAGTAGGTGAATGCATGGGTGGGTGGGTGGATGGATGGGTGGGTGGGTGGAAGGATGGATGGATGGATGGGAGGATGGGTGGATGGGTGGGTGAGTGGATGGATGGATGGTGGGTGGGTGGATGGATGGATGGATGGGAGGATGGATGGATGGATGGATGGGAGGATGGGTGGATGGGTAGGTGGGTGAGTGGATGGATGGATGGGTGGGTGGGTGGATGGATGGATGGATGGATGGGAGGATGGATGGATGGATGGGAGAATGGGTGGATGGGTAGGTGGGTGAGTGGGTGGATGGATGGGTGGGTGGGTGGATGGATGGATGGGTGGGTGGATGGATGGATGGGTGGGTGGGTGGATGGATGGATGGATGGGAGGATGGGTGGATGGGTGGGTGGGTGGATGGATGGATGGGTAGGTGGGTGGATGGATGGATGGATGGATGGATGGATGGGTGGATGGGTGGGTGGGTGGGTGGGAGGATGGATGGGTGGGTGGGTGGGAGGATGGGTGGATGGACTGACACTTGAACAGAACAACTTCCCTTGTACTCTTCACCTGGAAGTGAATAAACACAGATGGGCATACCACTTCCATAGATCTGTCCATCCAAGGGTTGACCACAAACGAAACCCCTTGGAGAACTCACCATTTCTGCAGGAGAGCTGGGGGTGAGGTAGAATTCCTTGAGGTGCAGGAAGAAGCCTTCCAGTTGCCCAATCAGTAAGAGTAAGATGACTCCATCTGCAAACTACAGAAGAAAGAACTGGAGGCTCTGGCACCTGAGAGGCCAAGGTCAACGATCCCACTCTGTCCTTCATAGGCCATGTGGCCCTGAGGAAGCCGCACAACCTCCTTGAGCCTCAGGTTCCTTTTGAGAAACAGGGATGGCATTCCCAGCCTCACAGGTTTGTAACCAGCAGCACAAAGCAGTCATGGACTTAGTATATTCTCAATAAAAACAGCTATTGCTAAACTTGCTGTGGAATTGTCACTTCAATTTTAAAATGACATATTGTTCCAGTGGCTCCAGAAACACAGGAGAAAACCATTAAGTATAAAATTATTCCATCAGGAAAAGGCAGAGAATAGCACCCAGGGCTCCTCTTGGTGGCCATACATTATTATTTCTGTCTGTTCTGTCTGCATGTTCAGAGATAAAGCTGTCATCCCCGCCACCAGCTCATCATATGCTAATGTAATCTATCGAATCTCTTCAAAGATACAAAACCCAAGATTGGATATTGCAGGAAAAGCCACCGCTCGAAGTCCTTAATGAAATTTCTTCCTATTAAGTCTGTTCCAGTGTTATTAGTTTGGGCCTGAAATCCTTTCCGCTGATGTTCCCTGCTAAGACAAGTGGAATACGGGGACTTCACACCCCATTATCCAACAGTCTCTAACTACTGTCCCCGCAATGGCCATTCTTCTCCAAATGCCATTATTTCACCAAGGGAGAAATAAGGATGAAACAGGTGAAATATAAACCTAGAAAATCATCCTGTTTATCCCCCATGAAATATGATAAAACCACAGATGCTTCATTTATCACGGGTCCACAGTGTGCCAGGCAAAGTACCGAACACTGGTGCCCACCAGAAGAGGAGCCTGAGGTTCAGAGAAGCCCACTAACTTGCTCAAACTCGCACAACTAATCTGGAGGCATCCTTGGAGCCCAAGGGGCATAAGAGACACTCACAAGATGGAAACACATCCATCTGGCTTCAAAGTCTGTTACTTCCCCAGAAGGGTCCCCCACACAACCCTCCCATGGCCACTGCATGAAGTGATTGTGAGCAAAAGATTCAGCCCCAGAGGCTGGGGTTCAGATCCCAGGGCCATCACTGTGTGGCCATGGGTGTTAACTAACCTCTCTGGGCCTTAATGGCCTCATCTGTAAAATGGGGTGGTATCAGTTCACACCTCAGGGGATTGCTGGGAGGATTCACTGGGCTGATATAGAGAAAGCACTTTGTTCAGGGCCTGGCGAATAGTGGGGGCTTTGCTGTTTGGGCTGTCCATAGCTACCACCCGTCCCCAAGCGCATCTGGGAAGCAGCAGCAGCAACAGCCAAGCACCCTGTAAGCCTCCAAGCTTCCGTCTGGGACCCTCCTCCTCATACCCCGCCACCACCATGGCCCAAGCCCACTTGAAGCCACCTGTCACCACCCTGAAGGCTTCAGGTGGCTGTCAGTTCTCTACAACTCTGTCCCCACTCTGAAGGAACACTGTGGGGACACAGGATTCTCACAGAAGGCTGTAGTCAGCAGGAACGCTGATCCTGTGATCGCATTCCCGCCTGGGACATTGGGTTTGCTTTGCCATGGTGGGCTGAGACCTCTAGCACTGCAGGAGAGACATGGAGCCCATGGGTGGTGGGGCAGTGTCACACCTCCAATGGCACATGGCCTGGTAGACACGGCTAAGTGGACAGTCACGTGGGGAGAGCACACGGCTTTGAGTCTTGGTATCTGATGGTCTAGGATTCAGTACCAAAAACATGTAACGATGAGTGGTAACACTAGCCTGGGCAACTCCAGCTTTGCGAAGTGTCCCTCAGTGCCCTCAGCCAGGATCCCCACTGTGTCCCAGTAGCAGGCCCCTTGGAGAGGGCCCCAAGGCTCTGAGAGGTGACAACCAGCCCCCGGCCATACAGTGAGTTCCTGGAGCCTATCAAACCCTCTTTCCTTCCCCACCTGGGCACCCTATAGCTATGTCCTTACCTGGGTGTCCAGATTCTGCACAGATAGGCCCAGGCGCTCCAGCTTCTGGTTGACAAAACTCACGATGGCCTGCCCAAGGGAGAGTAGGGTCCTCAGATTTAGGGGTTCAAAAATGCAGCTTCCCACCCAGACTGACCAAACCCTTCCCCAGCACCCAGCACCCAGCACCCAGAGCACAGCAGGAGTGGAGCCAGAGCCACCTCCTCCTCCACTTGGCTCCTGAGACCCCACAGGTGTGCGACAGGAGCCGTTGGCAGCTTTGCTCTCTCCTACCTCTTTCACAGCACTCACTTTCTCCGGAGCCAGCTTAAATAATTCATCAAAGACATCCTCTGCAGACCAGGGCCAACAAACAGATTGTTATGATGCAATTATCTTCCCACCAAACAGGGATTTCTTTGCACAAAGTTCCTCAGAATAACCACCCGAAGGGAGAGGAGGTTTTAGCCCAGGTTCTTGAAGGAAATGGACCTGGGTTTGGATCACTGCTTTCTGGCTGAGTGCCCCGGGAGAATTGCCTCCCCTCTCTGGGCCTCAGTTTCCTTGTCCATAATGTGCGGTTGATGGTGCCTTTAGATAGGCTTGCTGCTTACGCACATGCTTGGCCCAGTGACGGTGCTATGTCTAACAGGGTGTCTGTAGCACTCCATGTTCCTACAGCTATGTTCAAAGTGGGGAGGATTCAGTGAGGAAAATCAGTGCTAGGAAGTGGGGAGGGATAGATGGATGGATAGATGGATGGATGGATAGGTGGGTGGGCAGATGGATGGATGGATGGAAGAAGGATGTATGGATGGATGATGGATGGATGAGTGTGTGGGTGGATGGATAGATGGATAGTTATAGGAGTGGATGGATGGACGATGTGTGAATGGATGGGTGGATAAGTAGGCGAGTGGGTGGATGGGCAAAGGACATGTGAATGGATGGATGGATGGATAGGTGATTGGGAGGGTAAATGGATAATTGGAAGGAAGGATGTGTGAGTGGATAGTTGGCCAGAACAACTGACCAAGGATGGGCTGAACGAAAGAGTGATGGCGGGATAAAGTTGGTTGGTGAGCCACTCTGTCCCAAGAGTGACAACCACATTATCGAGCACTCACCATGTGCTAAACACATCCACACTCACCACTAGCTTAAAAGTGGCTGCCATTTTGTCCTAATTACAGGTGAGGAAACTGAGGCACAGACAGGTAAGTCACCTGCTCAAATTCATCTGCCTAACGAGTGGGAGAATTGGTGTTGCATCCCAGGCTCTTGGGCTCCAGAGCCCACACAGCAACAATGAAAATGAGGGAAAACACCAGCGATTCACTGTCCATCGCTAGGTGTCCACTTCAACACACGTCAGATAGGGAAAGATTTCCTTCGGTTATGTACTCACTTGGAGGCTCCTTGTCTGGGCTAAAGAGGAAATTATAGGAGGAGAAAAAAAGCAAACGAATGATTTTCTAAAAGGCTGCAAGTCTCTAATCTAACCTGACAAGTTGGGTGTCTGTTAAGGTCACAAGGAGGGGGACATGCCCATTTTCCCCAGCAGCCCATAGGTAGGATAGGTACAGATGGGGAATTTGTGGAGAGCCAAGGGCAAAAGAGTTTGTGCCCTTTTCCTGGGGCTTCAGCCCTAAAACATCTAGATCTTGTGTCTTTGTGGCCGCTGTGCTGCTGGGGGCAGAGACGCGTCCAGTTCCAGCCTGTGCATTTTTATGCAGACACATCCCATTATCACCACCCCAAAGACACAGTACGCCCCAGCACCCCAACACGCCTTCCATCCACTACCCCACACCAGGTTCAGCACCGATTGGCTCTGCCTGCCAGTGATTGGTTTTGCAAGTGAGCACATGCAGTCTGGTTTCTGCATTTGGCCTGGTTTGTTTTGCTGCATTTTTATTGCTTTAGGATGGGTTTTTTCTTTGATTTTTGTTAAATTTTCTGCCCCATGGAAGCGAGGGTCTCTGTGGCAAGGCAAGGCCAAACCCCTACGACTATAGTGCTGGAGAAGGGAGCTGGGCCACAGGGGCAGAGACCAGCAGCCATAGGGACCCAGTCTCAGCCCACAGGCTACACTGCCAGGACAGACAGACACCACGTGCTTCCCACTTAGATCCCAGCCTCCAGCACACACAACCCTCGCCTTAGCTCTACAGTAGCTCATGAGGACTGCGAGCCAGATGTCATGGTCCCTGTCCTGCCCTTACCTGCACTCTGTGAGCTGTTCCATGAACTTCTCTGACTTCAGGCCACTCCTAGTGCTCTAAGAAAGGAAAGAGAGACAGATGGAGTGGTCCCAGGAAACCCCCTGCCACCGCCAAAGCAGCCCTGGGGGAGGGGACAGTTTGCCAGGCCTCATGTCCTCCTTGGGAATCTAGCCGAATCCTTCCCTGCGAGCCTTGGCTGAAAGAGGAGGTGTGATGCAGCCACAAGCAGCTGGGGCTCTGCAGGCACAGTTCCCCCCAGCCATACCCAGGCCCCTTGGCAGTTCATGAAATGTTGAAAGGACAGACCTCATTCCCAAAGTACCCCAGGGTCACTGGAAGTAGCTTGTTTTGTTAGGCCAGTCAAAGGAAGCCCCAGGTCCTGGGGACCCCCGGGGGGCTGGGGCAGGAATCTGGGGCAGCAGGAGCAGGCAGGTTGCCTGCTGTGGTGCTCAGAGCCTGCCTGGGAGATCCCCAAGCATTCACCACGGCACAAGTGAACACATGCTGGAAAGAAAAGGCCTCCTGAAGAGGACATGGGGCATGGTCACAGCTGTGGGCTGGTGATGAGGGACATTACCCTTGGGAGAGGGTAACAGTTTTGTCTCTGTGGTGTGGCCATGAACCCAGGAGACATGGGGGCTGTCAGTTGGGATCTTCCTGACAGTCCCTGGTCTCTACCTCTACCAGGGCATATGCTGAGGTCAGCAGGGCTGGCCGCCCCTGGACCCTCCTCCCGTCCCAACTGGTGTCTCCAGCCCAGTCCCCTACTGCTGTCCTCATGGGATGTGATATTTCTTTTCTTCTTTTCTTTTAGTAGTCCTGGGATTTGAACTCAGGGTCTCTTGCTTGCTAGGCAGGTGCTCCACCACTTGAGCCCCTCCACCAGTCCTTTTTATGTTATCTTTAAGATAGGGTCTTGCTTTATACCTAGACCAGCCTGGACCTCCATCCTATTTCTGCTTCCAGCTGCTTCCTGCACAGCTGGGATGACAGGTGCACCATTCCTCCCCCCCCACACCACACCATTGGTTGAAGTGGGGTTTCGCAAACTTTTTGCTGGGATTAGCCTCAAGTCACACAAAATCTTCCTGATCTCAGTCTCTCAGGTAACTAGGATTACAGCTTTGAGCTACCATGCCCAGGCTTGGGGTGGGATACTTCTCACAGCCTCCTAGAGCCCACCCAGGGTTCAGCCCTGCCCCAGGCAGCAATTCCAGTGCAGGGTGTGGCAATAGGAGCCAGGATCTCAGTTCATGCTCTCTACTGCCTCAGGCAGCTGCTCACCTCGATGATGATGACCTCCACCTGGACGTTGGTTGGGAGGGCCAAGTCAGGCTGGAAGTGCCTAGCCAGAGCCACAAGGAGGTGCAAGGTGGACAGCAGGTCCTTGTTGAAGATGCCTGGGAGAGGAGATGAGCTCTGGTCAGAGCCCAGAGGCCACCAGAAACGGCAGCCAAGTGGAGGCTTCCTCCCCTTGGTCCCCACGCAGACCTCAGAGGTCTGTGTTCAGCCTCTGTTAGCAGGTTATATGCAAGCAATTGCCTCCTTCCTGGACCCCTGGCTCAACTTACTGCTTTGTTAAGGCTTGACACAAGTGACTCCATTTTGATTCTGACAGTTTTCACACCTCAGGCCGCCACAGGAGCAAGCACAAAGTTAGACACCTGGGCAAGGAGCAACACATGGGTGTACCCTCCCCTTCCCCCAGCCTACAGAATGACACAGCCACCCACTCTGACCTGAGAGCAGAGATGTGGAGATATGTATCCAGAACCTTAAACCGTTACACTGGGCTCCAGACACCCCACTTTGGGGGTACAGCCCAAAGGTGCTGTGCACTGCGCTCAGAGCTTTGGACAGAAGCTGTTCACTGCAGGGTTGGTTACAGCAGAAGAAGCAGGCACAGGTAGAGCAATCATGAGATTTAAGCCAGCTGAGACTTAATTCAGTATTAACATGATAAACGTCGGCCGTGGATGGTGAACTAACCAGCCGTGAGCGTGACATGGGACTCAGTGAAAGCTGGGTTTAAAACTGACCCCCTCACCATCAGTGCCCAGTCACAGAGAAGCTACCTCACTCCTCCAGACCTCAGAGTCCTCTGGAGTACGGGGAGATCCAGAGAGCTGAGCAGATGGAAATCTTCACTGGACTGTGGACGGGGTGGGGCAAGGAGGCCTAGGTTTCACACGCCCTCATTTGTTGTCGAGCATGAGCTAATGTCAGATGTAAGCACTCATGTGGCAAGCCCGATGGATGTGTCTTGGTCCTGCACAAAGCCCCACATACTCTCCACACTCCACTTGGCCTGCTGTTCCTCCACCTGTAGGCTCCGGTTTACAGCTTCCAGGACGACACCGAGCTTGCGCCTCTGGCTGGCAGCCGTCAAGGCGATTTCCTCCACCTCCAGCTTGAGTGTGGCCAGCTTCTCTGCAGGCAGGAGAGGGTGGTGAGGGCCCCAAGAGGCAGTGCAGGGGTACCATGGAGACCTGGAGGGCCGAGTCTGGCTAGCACTTGGGGTACAGGGCCGGGGGAGCCCTGTCCACTCGTGAAACAGGACCAATAAGGCACTCAGGTTGTGTGACCTAAGCAGATCGCAGTTCTCTTAACTGCCCCGTCTCTGGTCCACTTCACCTCGGCCATCTGTGTCTGCACTGTGGCCACTGCATAGCCCCGTCCACATCTTTCCCACAGCGCAGGGTGGCTTGATGAGTGACCCCTGCCTCCTTAACTGGGAGATGCTGGACACGGCACTAGTCATCTTGGAGCCTCAGCTTCCTCACTCAAAATGGGGACAGGAACAGTGAGGAGCTGTTGGGAACTGACTGAGCCTGCTACCTAGGAAGTACCCACCTAAAACCTTGGCTGTAAACCCCTGGGATGACTCAGTAGCCTATCTACCAAGAGTTCACCATGCTGGGCCCCAGGCTGGCACTGAGAACCAGAATCAGGACCCCCCCCCCCGGCCCCAGGGCCAGCATTCTGTACAAGACACACCTGCAGACCATCCATGGATGTCTGGGCAATGGCAGGGCAGCTCTGGGGATTCTGGGAAGACCTCCTAGGGGCTGGGCCATGACCCTGACTATGGACACCCCTTCCAGCATGGGGAGAGCAGGTTTCTCTGGTATCTCCCAGTCTCTAAAAACAGCAGGTGTTCTATAAAAGCAGAAGATGCAGTGTGGTGTGGGAAAGAACCCCCACCCAGGTGTCAGACCTGGCTGGAACCACATCTCTGCCCCAACCACTCTTGGACGTGGTCAGGGCCTCCACCTCCCCAGCTCAGCCATCTAGAAAGCAGGACTGGTGTTCCTTCACCCAGGTGTGTGGTAGGGACTGTGGCAGGAAGCCATCTGTGGGGACTGGAGAGGCCAGATGGGGCCATGGGAGAGGCCTGGTGGCCCCTAGAGCAGCTAGCAGGTGAGGAATGGGGCAGGGCTTACGGAACAGGTGGTCCAGGATGAGCCCATCGAACATATCCTCCTCCAGACTACGGACCACAATGTGCTCAGGGAGGAGCATGGCGTTGATCCATTCCACCAGCACCTGCCGGCCAGAGGGCGCAGTGTACAGAGGCAGGGTCACCTGGCTGGGCTTTGACCTCAGCCTGGAGTGTCCCCACCCCCTGCTAACTCCTATCCAGCCTTCAAGGCCTGGTGAGGTGTTCCCTTCTGCGGGAAGCCCTCTGTCCCATCCCACAGGCTGTCCCGGGCCTGCTCCCGCTCCTATTTCTTTGTGGGGCTGACATTGTGCTGTGAAAGGTTTTGGTACAAGAAGCTGACACTACTGTCACAAGTACCTAAACTGCAGACGAGACATTTCTTTTGCTCTAAGCCACACATGTTGTGACCATCTATTGCTGCAGTACCAGGAGACTAACATGGGGCCATGTTAGGGCCAGAGGATGGTGCCCTAACAGGGAGCCACCCTAACGGGGGTGGCAGGGAAGGTGGGTAACTGGCCCAGCTCCTGCTCTGAGGTGCCGGAAGCTTGAGGTCTTGGGCCATGACTGGCCTGGTACTCACCCTGCACTGGCCACTTCCCTCTCATCCCTGATCCTGGGATAACCACCCAAAGCAACTACTCACACCCGTCCTCAGGCAGGATCAGCTTTGCAGGAACCCACCCAAGATGGCCAGGGTGCCCAGGAGGGACCACGAGCCATTTTCCTCTAGGCCTAGGGCTGTGCCAGGTGTGTATGCCATGGAGGGAAAGTAAAAGGAAGGGAAGGAGAGGGAGGCAGGAGGGAAGGGGCCCAAAGAGCTCTGGGTGTGGAAGGTGCCAGCCAGGCCTCTCCAGAAGAGACAACAGAGGCTGTGGGGCATAGACCCTCCTACAGCCACACCAACAAACCCCATGGCCAGACAGAATCAGAAACTGGGAGACCTGCTCTAATGGTTGCATAAATTGTAGTGAATTCATTTACAGCACTTTCCACGGGGACATACTTCACCATGTGTTGCTGTTTGTGCTTGTTTCTTTCAGGGAACACAGTCATGTTAACAGCTTTGGGCTCCTGGCTATGCCCTCATTTTAAGCCATGACTGCCTTGAGCACATAACAGACTCAGGCTTGGGGCCTGATGGCCTGGGTCAGCTAGATATTTCACACAGGTCAGGTCACCTCTCCAAACTGACACCTCCCCAGGCCACAGGTGGCAACTGGTCCCTCTCAACTGTCATGAGGCATGAGGGATTTTTGCATGAAGGAACAGAGTTGGTGTTCAATAATTGTTCACTCATATAGGCATTCAACAGGTCTCACAGGGGCCTGCAGGGCCACCACCTGCCAGTCTGAGGCCAAGTTGGGGGAGGGTGGCCTGCTGCCCCCATCCTGTGGAGGGGAGAGTCTCGCCCTCATGAGAAGAGGAGAAGCCAGAAGACTGGCTCTAGAGATGCCAGGGTGGTGATGGCTGCTCTACCTTCTGCAGGTCTTCAAATTTGGGGTCCTTCCGGGAATTGGGTGGCAGGTATCTCTTCTTTTCTCCTGGAAGCAGAGGTGGGTGTGACATGCGTGTGGGGACCAGTGGCACTTGGCAGTGTCTCCCTGTAGGTCGCCCACAGAGCCCAGGACCACTAGACTGGGTGGAGAATGGATGGAGGATGCATGGATGAGTGGATGGATGGATGGATGGATGAGTCAGTGGATAGAGGATGGACATGTTGGTAGATGGGTAGATGAACAGATGGATAGATGGACAGGTGGATGGATAGATGGATGTGGGCTACCCCTTTCCAGAGCAGACTTCTTATCACTCTTAATCACCCCAGGCCCCAGCTGATTTTGGAACTTCAGATGTCTCTAAATCAACTGTGAAACAAGAAATCAATGTTTTTTCAAGTAGCTGAGCCACCACCCTAACTTAGCCATGGTCCTCATGACACTTCCCAGTCTGACAGTTCAGAAACCCAGAGGACACAAGGCAGATAGGAAGACAGCCAGGTGACTCAAGATGAAGCTGTCATTCACCCCCGCCCCAGGGCCCTCTCTGTGGGGAACGGATTACGGGAAGCCTATAAGGACATAGCACAGCTCTACCCCATGTTCTGCAGGCTCAGATTGGCGCAGCCCCAGCCACAGAAGAGGAAAATGCAAAACAGCTGCTTTTCCTAAGTTGTTTACATTCAGAGAGGTAGATCCAGGTTTCTATTGTTACAAAGTCCCCCAGAGCTGCTGCTCCACCTCCTTGTTTACCACTGGGTGTAAAAGACTCACTGAAGGCGGACACCAGGCTTTTTGGTTTTGGGCTTTTGCTTTGGCTTTTGGCTTTTGGATGAAGGGAGGCTTTTTGATGTGGGAGGCTTTGGAAGGGAAAAGGATTGCTGAAGGGAAAAGGATTGCTAAAGGAGAATTGCAAAAGGGGAATTGCTAGCAAGTCTGAGAGCTGAGATTTTAAGAAAGCTAAAGGAAACAGTGTAAGTCTGCACCGAGAACTTTGTACATAGGCTTTAGAAAAGCTAAACTAAAGAAAAGCTAAAAAGAACATGGGACAGTGCAAGTCTGAGCACCGAGGCTTTAAGAAAGCTGAAGAGAGAGCATGGGACAGTGCAAGTCTGGGGGTAAAGACTTCAAGAGAGATTATGCTAAAGAACAGCTAAGAGAGAACATGGGACAGAGCGAGTCAAAGGAAAGAGACTTTAAAGAACAGAACAGACTTTAAAAGCAAGGTTTTAAGGACAGACTTTAGAAGCAAGGTTTTAAAGAATTGTAAAGGAGTAAGGCCTTAAAGGATAAAGATAGAGAAAAAAAGCAGAGTGAATGAAGAGAATAGAGAAAAGAAGCAATGAGGCTACTGTGCATCCCCATCCGAGTGCCCAGCACACCTGGCCCCAACTTTCTGTCTGTCTATCCTGTGTCCTTTCTGCATCTCCCATCACCACCCATTTAGCCCCAGTTAGGTTCAGTAGTAACAGGAGTGAGAGAAAAAACTCGCTCCACCTCTTGGTGCTGGAGTTCTCTCCCACAGCACCTAGCAAGGCCACATTCTCAGGGTCTGCAGAAAGTCACACCCCACTCCTGTCCTTTCTGCCTTTTCATACGTTTTCATCGCTATCAGATTTCTGCTCTAATGGCTGCAGAAATTCTAGAGAGTTCACTTACAGCCCTTCCCACTGGGACACTGGGCGCTTCCCAGTGTGTGGTTGCTTGTGTTTGTTTCTTTTGGGGAGCACACTCATGTTGACAGCTTTGCCCTCCTGGCTGTGCCCTCGTTTTGAGCCATGGCTGGGAGGAAGACTCTGGGGCAGCACCCCAAAGGGCTTGCAAGGCCATCGGGACTAACAGCAGCAGCTGCTGTGCCAGCCTGGGATGTGAGGTTACGGGTGCACAGGGACAACTGCAGCAGGCTCAGGAGACACAGCTAGGCCAAGCACAAATGGAAGGTCTAGAAGGGTGAGCGAACTGGAGACTCGGGTGACAACTCAGAGCACAGTGCACATTCTGGACATGGCCTGACTTGTTCTGGTGACAAGGACCCTCACACTCCCCACCCACCACCCACCAGCCCTCTGCCCTCTGGACTGGCACCTTGTGGGAGCTCTTCCTCCACGGGCAGGGCCACCTCCTTGGGGAGCTGCAGCAGGTTGTAGAGGGGCTCTGGATCCATCTTCTTCGCCCACCCTGGAGGATGCAGGGGACAAGGTGTCATACTCGAGGACGCCCAGATTCAGTCCATGCCCACTGTGTCCTCCAGAGGCACAGGTGGCCAAGTCCCCCAAGGATAGAGCAAAGGGACAGGGCCCTGGTAAGGAGGCCTAGAGCCCACAGACTGAGGGCATGGCCAGAACAGAAGCTTGGCACGGAATTGGGTCCTTCCACGCCTGGTACACAGCAACCTGCCCACCATCCCTTGCCCAGAAGCCCCCTACCCCGAGCAATCAGGACACAGGAGTGTAGCCCACTACTCAGAACACTAGAAATCTTTGGGAACGCTCAGCGTCACCCTGGGTCCATTATGTGGAAACCAGTGTCCCCTCAGGGACCCTGAGCCCAAGACCCACTGACTCAGAGTGGGCACTGCCAGCCTTGCAGAGAGTGGAGGGCTGGTATGCCAAAGCCACCAGCTGTGTCCCCCAGTCTGCACAGGCTTGGCTCACGGAGGAGTGTTGGTCCAGGTTGGCTCCCGACTCCGAAGACTCTCTCCAGTGGGTTAACAGCCCCAGCCGCTCCGTGGGGTGAAGGTCTCCAGACATTTGTCCAGGAAGCCTAGGGCACGTGCTCTGTGGGGAAGCTACAGTTCCCACCCCACGTCTGGAGGCAGAAGCAGAAGCCAGTGACCCCCCCCTTCTGGTTCCCCTGGCCCACTTCCTCTCTAAAGTTTCACTTGCACTAAAACTTGTACAGCCTGCTCTCTCTCCAGCCTCTGCACTCTCCCAGCCTTCCCTAACTCAGACATTTGGGCTGAGGAGGCAAAGCAGGGAGCCCAGAGCTGTATGGGAGAGAGAGATTTGCAGACTGGAGTCACTGTAGCTAAGACGAGAGGGGTTACTTCAGGAGCTCCTCCTGCCCTGCAGCCAGGTGAGGGAGAGGCCAAAGCCACCAGGGGCTCCTCACCCCAGGACTCCCAACGTCCCAGTTGGCTGGAGGAAGGTGCACTAAACCTGGGGTGAGGAGGCCTGCGTTCCAGACCAGCTCCTCGTTCTTTAGCTGGTGACTTTGGGCAGATCCCCAACCCTCTCTGGTCCTGATGCATCTTTACAAGGAGCAGCTGGACTCGATGCTTGCCACAGACAGCCGAGTGGCCACAGACCTGGAGCTGCTCTGGTGGCCCGCATTCCTGGGTGAGTCCTTCCCTGCCCAGGCCTCTGTGCCCCATCTAAAGAGGGCCTCCTTTCTCCCCACACATTGCTTGAAGCTCAGGAAGGGACAGGGACTGTGCACCTGGCTACCTAGAGGGGTAGGCAGGGCTCTTCCGTGTTGGGCTGGACCTTGGTAACGTGGGGAAGGGGCCAAGCAACCTTGGCATGGGGCTGGGGCTCAGGGCTCCCGTTTGACCGCCACCCCCTCACCTTGTGAGCTCAGCTGAACTGTGGCTCTGCGTTCCTGTCCTTCTGACCTCTTGACCTCTTTTGCCCCCCAGCCCCATCCCCACCCAGCACACCGGTGAACAGAAGTTTCCAGCAGCCAAGGGCCAAGATGCAGAAGGACTCACCTGTAGGACTCACCTCCACGCTAAGAAACAAAGGCTGGGCAGTTCCAAGGCGTCCTGGGTCCCACTAGAGGTAGGTTCTGGTACCTTGGTTGTCCCTGGGGCCCCGTCCCGTCCCACCGCCCTGCTCACTTCCTCTCACTGCCTGCCGAGGTGGCTGATGGGCACTTCCTCTCCTCTGGCTGCCTGAGAGTGGAGGAGGGCAGAGCGAGTCCACCCCGAGCCCCCAGAAGTGCAGAGGGCTCCCTGCAGCCCCAGCCCCTGCCCCAGCCTGGGCTTGCAGCCACTCAGGAGCCCCCGTGGCCACTCTGAGGTGGCACTTCCTACTTCTCTTCCTCCCCAAACCAGGCCAGGCCCTCCCCACCTGCCCAGCTCTAAATAGCAGCTGTTCAGGCCATAAAGCCTGGGGGTCAGCACCCCACACCCAGGTCATCCATATGCTGTGGACTCTCTCACGGTGCCCAGTCCTCCCTCCTGGGCCACCCTGACCATCTTTCTGTCTCCTAACAGTGTCACAAGCCTTTTGTTTTGGCTTCTTCATTCATACTGTTCACCGTGCCTGAAAGCTCACACAGTTCCTTACATGGCTGAGTCCTCTTCTTTAACATTGACTATAATGCCTCCTCCTCCAGGAAGCCATCACTGACTGCCTCTTCTTAAGTAGGTCCTCCCTGTGATTCTGTACCAGAGCCCCTGGACCAGCACAGAGGGGCAGTCAGAGAGCACATCAGACCTGAGCTGGTCTCTGAGCTTGAACCTTCCTGACCCAGTCTGAAATTGTGAGCGTCATAGTGACAGGACATGGGCTGGGTGAAAAGGCAGCTAGCCACACAATGGATCGGGCAGAAAGAGGCCAAAGTGGCTGGGAAGCAGAGTGGGGGATGTCAGAGAACGGGAGAGTAGGGTTATGGGAAGTTAGAAAGTTGTCAGAACTCAGTACTGGTGTCCTTGCTAACCGGATTTCTCAATGAAGTTAAAGCTTTAGTAACACTGAAGCGGGCTTCTGAACTAGGTTCAACATACCCCACATTGCAGGGGAAACTGAGGCTCCTGCCTGTACTGCACTATGCAGGACCAGGGTTCACCAGGGCAGAGGAGAGAAGCGGCTGTGCTCTGGCCCCATGATGTTGGAGTGGCAAGTTGGGCACAGCCTGGCTCCTACTCCCATGGTAGCCGTTTCTGAGCCCTGGAGCACAGCCAGGAGGTGTGTCAGTCGGTGTCGTGCAGCGGAGATGACACACGTTGAAAAGCAGGAATGGAAGAACATTTGAGAAAGGAAACAGGTGAAAGACAGGCAGAGATTGGGGCTGCACCCCAGCCAGCAACGTGGGGCTCCAATGCCCAGAGGACAAAGAGGGTAGTACCAGAGCCCAGAAAGAGCATGAGCTATGGCCACTGGGAGGGACACTACCACCCATAGTGACCCTGCAGAGGACACAACCACAGGAACATGTACCCTGACCTCCCACAAGGCCGCCTCCCACCAGAGCCCCCACAGGCCAAGTCCAGCTGAAAGCCAGAGGTAAGAAGCCCACTGATGGGGTCCACGGAGGTGGGGACAGAGACGGAGGGAAGTGGATGCAAGGAGGTGGACAGGACCAATACTCTGGATGGTGGTCACTTGCAGCTTCCTGGCTGTGGTAGCTTCCAGCAAGGGCAGACTGTAGGGTATTTATTTCTTTATTACCTAGATTAGCCTTGAACTTGTGATTCTTCCACCTCCGCCTTCAGAGTGTGGGATTACAGGCAGACTGAGTCCGGGCTTCTGTCCAGGTTGGGGAAAGGACAGTAGAGAGCCTCTGTGTAGTTAGCCAAAGAGTTTAAAGCAAGACAAAACCATCCCAGGGCTTTACCTTCTCAGCCCAAGGTCTGTTCAGAGGGGAGAGAGTTTTATCACGGCCCTTAAAGAATCTCTTTGCTCCTGGGGCTAGGGCAGAGGTAGCTGGGAACCAGATGTGGGGTCTGACCCTGTGTAGCGACTGAATCCACAGCTCACCCAGGAGCCCTGCCTCCTGCATGAAAGGCACGACACTGACTGGGAGAAGAAGTACTGCCTGCGTGCAGTACTTACTTACTTAGGGCAAGATGGGTGTATCAGTTAGTCATTGCTGCATAACAAACCAGTCCAGAACCTAGTGGCTTAAACCAACATGCTATCTAGCATATGGTTTTGGGTAGGCAGAGTGGCTCTGGTCTGGGACAGATGGATGAACTTGGCTGGTGCTTTCAACATCCATGGCCAGCTGGCCTCTCGTTATCTACAATGGCCTGGCTCCCAGGCCCGGGTGTTGGCAGGCTGATGAGTAGGACTGGCTGGCTGTTGACATACAACCCTCCGTCCCAGCAGGCTGGTTCCAGCTCATACACGAGCCTGCTGCAAATCTCTGCTGGTGACACTTTTTTGCTATTGTCCCCAAAGCCAACGCAAGTCACACGGCCAACCCAAGGGCCAGTATGGGAAGGAGTTACCCTAGGGCATTCAGTGTCTCTGTAAACGATGTACCACACGGGCACAGCTGCCGTGCTGGGGAGCCAGGCCAGAGCCGTGCACCGAATGGTCAAGCCTCAGGGCCATCGGGCTGGGCTCAGCAGGTCCTGGAGTCCCTAGAATTGAAACAGATGGGCACCACTAAGACCTACTCAGTAAACACCGGGAGAAATCTAGGCCATTTCCACAGAGGCCTGAGTGGAACCACTGCAACAGGCCAGGACCTCCCAATGGCAGGGTCTCAAGTGGCATGCTCCCCGGAGAGTCTGTAGGAAGAGCCAGACGGGCACACTTTGAGCTCTCCGTGCTTGTCGAGTTGTAAAAGCAAAAAGCAAACCCCATGTGCAGTGTGTCCCCTCCTGTGCAGAAGACAGAGGAAGTGGAATTCACTCAGGAGGCCTCTAACGGCTGGGGGTGGCAGCTCCTTCCCAGAGGACAGCAGCAAAGCCCTGGACTGTCACTTGAGCCACTCTACAAACCTGAGCCAGGGACCCTCAATGCAGTCCTTATAACCAGTGAGCACTTCTTCTCTATCAAATGAGGCACAGAAGAAACCCTAGCAGGGAGAAAGGCTGTTTAGATTGGCTGGCTCTGACATCCTTCTGTCAGCAGAGACCAGATCTTCACCCCACAGGGCACCTTGCTAGCTAGCCCTCCCCTTCCCAGTGACACTATGGAGCCATAGGACCCAGTGAGTAAGACATAGAAATAACAAGGAGTCAGAGCCTCGGCTCATGTGCCACAGATGGCCACCATGTACCAAATATATTACTTCCCCCGGCCCTCGATGTGGTCAGAGATCCCTGGCCAGTCATCACTGCCCATGGAAAACTTTGTCAGTCCATCCAGTGTAGCCTGCAAAGTCTATCATTTTCTAAATGTCCCATGATGTGACAAAGAGTAAGAAGCACTGTCCTAGTGCCCTGTGGGGACACATGCATGCCAACCCAGGCACTAGCTGAGCACCAGTGAGCTCCCTGAGTATCTGCTTGTCAGAAGAATAGGGATGACCTCTAACAAAGAAACTTCAGTGGCCGGAGCCTCCATCCCCACAAGAGGCATGGCACTTGAAGGCTGAGGCTCTTCAGATCACAAGGGCCACACAGATTTATTGGGAGGTCCAACCCTCGCACGGCATAGCCTGTGAGGCTGCTGCTGGGAGCAGGGCCAGGGCAGAAGTTCTGCAGATGGCCCTGGAAGCAGTGACCACAGTCCAGTCACCTGGTCCTGGTCACAGCAGGTATATGGAGACTCGAAGAGACATCTAGGGTGGGCACAGAGCAGGGTCTGGGTGGCAAGCAGTGGAACAGGATCCACAGTGTAGTTCCTGGAGCTCTTCCATCACAACTCATTCCCCAGCTTCTATTGGGTCCTGGTGTAGGCTAAACCCCTGACTAAGCTGTGGTTTGAGTGTGTTCCCCAAAACTGCATGTGTGAACCCCTAAATTCATATGCTGGACCATGCTCTCCAATTCCCTAGCCTCCAGAACCATGAACCAACTGAACCTCTTCTCTGTAAACTAGCCAGTCTCAAGTATGTTGTTATAGCAACAGAAAAAAAGACTAAGACAAAGTTTCAAGTGGCCACGGACACTGAGTGTCATTTGGCCAATCAATCTATAAAACTAAGTGTTTTATAGATTGTGTCTGTCAGAGCAATCCATTGTCAATAGGGAGACATGTGCACAGCATCAGGCTGAAGCCAGCCCAATGACACAGGTAAGTTGCACTAGCAGGTGCCGTCATCATCACATCTCCCTCAGCCCCTGCCTGTGGCCTCATGGGAGACTCCACTGTCTGTCAACTAAAGAAAAATAAGCAGCCTGGTGTCCAGGTGGTCTCCATGTCCTGCTGCAGGGACCCAGCTGGCTGCTGGGATGGGGAAGGGAGCTCTTAGTACTCGGGAGTGGACTGCTCCTACCAGGGGACACACAATGGCCACCTGGCCCTTATGACCTCCTGGTGCCACTCAAGTTTCAGGCAGAAGAAGAAAAGAAAGAGACAAAGGTGGTGGGGGTGGGGAGAAGGGAAGAGGAAAATGAAACACGAGTTCACCATGTTGGCTGAGGATTTTCTGCCCAATTATGGAAGTCAAGAATGTTGCTGTGACAATGCGGGGGAGCATATCTGGAACCTGGGCAAGCCCCCATCCCCCGTGTCTCCTAGAACTGTCACATCAGGTAGAAAAGTTAATGAAGACCACAGCCATGGCAGGATGAGCAAGGGTCCGGAGCTCCACGCGGAGCAGTGACCAGCAGAGGCACCTAAGGGACTGGCAGGCACAAAGTGATGAATCACGAAAGGCAGAGGAAGAAAGCTCTGGACTCGATTGCAGGTTCGGGTTCAAGTTCACAGCCAGCTGCAGAAACAGGGATGGCAGCAGTTACTCAGGTTTCCTTCCTTCCTGGGAAACCTACACACGTATACATGAATACATGTGCACACGCACACACACACACGCACACATGCGTTTATCTTGGCTTAATATTTTCCTGGAAACGCTCTTGATTTTTACTACCCAAACCTATAGAACGTATATATCTCCATGCGGTCTTTTCTCTCTCTCACTCTCCTTTTTCTTTTCTTTTTTTTTTTTTTTTTTTGTGGTACTGGGGTTTGAACCCATTATGTCATTATACAGTGTTTTCTTAATCCAAGGTTTATATGGAAAATACTTAAATTATATCTGCATCTCAAAATCTCAATCCAAGTTTTAAAAGAATCATTTTATCACATTTGCTTTCTCTTTCACTCTTCTTCTGAGTCATTTAAAAATAGGTTGCGGGGAGCTGGCGGATGTCTCAAGTGGTAGAGCACCTGCCTGGCAAGTGTGACGACACTCTGAGCTCAAACCCCAGCACTGACCAAAAAAAGTATTGTGTAGAAATTAGCAAACAAAATGGAATATTATTCAGCCTTACAAAGGAAAGAAATAAGAAATGCTGACACATGCTACATGGATGAGCCTCGAGGATGTGGTGCTAGTGAAATCAGCCAGGCACAGACAGACCGACACGGCATGACTCCATTTACCTAAGGCAGCAGTGATCACATTCGAAGAGGCGAAGGCGGAATGGGGGCCGCCAGCGCAGGCCGTGGTGAGTGGCTCGTTAGTGTTTCATGGATACAGAATTTCAGTTCGGCCAGGTTGAAAAGATAGTTGCAGACTGGATGCATAAAAATGTGAGCCTGCCACGTATACGTGATGAGTGGCCTTTCGTGACTTTGACATTTTTAAGGCACCCAGGTCATCTGCTCCATAGAATCCGCCATCTGTCATTTCTCCCTCTGCTTCTACTGACTGATTTTTCTTCTGGCTACAGCTCACTTTTTTTTTTCTTCTTTTTTGTATGTCTAGGAATTTTTTGGTGAGTGGCAGACAGTGTATTTTTATGCTGCTGAGTGCTGGATTCTGTCACATTCCTTTAAGGAGTGTCGGTCACATTCCTTTAAGGAGTGTCGGGATGCCGGCAGAAACCTGTGGATTTCTTTGACTCTTCAATGTTTGCTTGTTTTTGAGCTTGACCTCCTCCAACTCTGATCTGTGTCTCCAGCTCCGTGAGGCCTCAGCTCTGTTCGGGGCCCCTCCACACAAACACCACAGGCCAGGAGGGAGGCACGAGGGATGGTGAGGCTCAGGTAACCTGCTTCCCCTTCTTAGGGATCACAGACCTCAGCAGTCTCTTGTCTGATGTCTGAAGGAGCTGTTTCCTATGTTTTGTAGGGCTTTCTAGTTATTTTTGGAGAAAGGTAACTCCATAGCTGAAAGTTATTTCCTGATGAGTATTTATTGATTACAAAGAAGAGTCATATTTTCAGCATACAAGTCTGACAAACCCTATCTGACTTAAGCAAATTAACATCCTAAGAAACGGGAAAAAGAACATGACCTGTCTCCTGATGACAGTGACAAGAAAGAGCACCACCTGCGTCTAATCACAAGGAAAATGCCGGACAAGAGCTGGGGCCTTCTTCAGAGCTCTGAAACAGAAATTCAGCCGGGAAAGGCAGTTCTGAGCTATGGCCATGGATGGCGATGCATGACTTGTGTTTTCTGCGGGGAGACAGGACATGATTGGGACAATTAGAAAACAAATCAACACCTGTGGGTTAGGTAATGTTATTGCCTCATTGCGATTGCCTGTTAATGACACCGAACTGAGGTCACATACAGGCCACCCTTGCATCTAAGTCCACACGCTGATGTGAGGCCTTACATATAATGCACGCAGCTTACACCCGAAGGCTCAGGAAAGACGTGTACAGGTAAATGCATCAACACGGGTGGACAAGGATGTCTATCTTTGAGAGAAAGATAGAGACAGAGAGACAGAGGGGTGGAGGGAAGGAGACAGAGAGAGAGAGGCAGACACAGAGCCAGAAGCAGAGGAGAGGAAGATCAGAGGAGAAATACAGAGACGATGGAGAAAAGGCGCATTTATGGGCTTGTGGGTAAACACAGAAACTCTCCACTATTCCTGCTACTTTTCTGTGTTTGATACCATATAAAATTAAAATGTTAAGAGAAAAGAGAAGACCTCACGTCCATCCTTACTATCGAGGGCTTGGAGATACTATTTTTAATTCACTGTCATGCAAAACTGTGGCCCCCACAAGCTGAGTCCTTTTGACCCTTTCCATGTTCTTTGAGATCTGGCTCGCTTTCTAACACAGTATTTCAAGTGTCCCTTAATAAATTTTAAAAATTGATGTTGGGGTGCGGGACCTAGTGCTCTCTTCCAAGTGGGTCTGGCAGAACATCAGAAACTCATGTAGACATGTCGAGAAGCGTCCGATGTCAACAGAGGTGATATATCCTTAAATGTGACGATATGACAAGTGTTCTGCATTGTGTGACAGCTGCTAGAATGAGCTACATGGCCCAACACCAGCCCACATAGCTGGGACTCGTGAGTGTGAGGTCTCAGTTCAAACCCCTGTGGCTAGAGCCCCCTCGCCCGTCTGTGAGGAGGAGCCATCATGACTTCCTCTTCCCCAACGTCTCCTGTGTTTTCCCTGCTGATCTGAAGGCACTGGCCCTCGCCTCCACACACCAGATCCCACTTTCCTACTGCGGCCCCAGTGTACCTGGCATGGGTGCGGCACAAAGCAGGTGCTCAGGAAGGACTTCACCAATGTTTCAGTTTCCTGCTGTGTGGGGCCCCAGACTCTCCACTCCCCGTTACACGGTGGCCGTAACTCACTCCCGGGAGTGAGTGTCTATGTAAAACTCTGGACAAGACACTGTCCTCCCAGAGAACTGCGAGTCCCACCCTTAGTGGCCGATGTCCCATGTCAGCAGCAGCACTGAGCTGGCTCCTGCCTGGGAAGGGTTAGAGCAGGTGACCAGAGAGCCCCTTCCTTGTCTTGGTTCCTAGATTCCTCCAGCAGGGAAGGCAAGTGGTCATGGGAGGCCAAAGTTCCCCAGAGACTGGCCACAAGGGAAGGAAGGGACCCCCACCTAAGCAGGGAGCCCCTGGCCAGGCAATGGCTGAGTCAGGGGATTTTCCCGAGGGCCTGACAAAAGCACCTTATAAAAGATAAAGGACTGGGGCAGCCTGGAATAGCCCCACTCCTCATGCCCCTGGAGTCCTCAGCCCCCTTTCTTTCTTATGGCTTTCTTCAGCTGCCATCTCTGCCCCACAGAGATTTTTTTTTTGTTGGGACTGAGGCTTGAACTCAGGGCTCATGCTTGCAAAGAGGTGCTCTACCTCTCGAGCCACACCTCCAGTACATTTTGCTCTGGGTATTTTGGAGATAGGATCTCACAAACTATTTGCCCAGGCTGGCCTTGAACCATGATCCTCCTGATCTCAGCCTCCCAAGTAGCTAGGATTACAGGAGTGAGCCACCACACCTGAATCCTATAGAAATTTAACACCTCCTTGCTGGGCCTCCTTCATGGAGTTCACCCAGAGTCACCCATAGGCTTCTAGATCCAGGGCTAAGGGCAGGGGCCAGCTCCGTCCCTGGCCATGTGACTCCTGGACAAACACCTGCTGAACAGGACCAATTAGGGGGTCCCCAGAGGGTCATACACAACTGCTGACCTCACAGAACTGGCATCGAGGGGACGTTTTATCATCAATATTAACAGAGAAACCCCATCCAATAAAAGGAGCAGAGCCCAGCTGGCTGCACAGCTGGCTGTTACAGCAGGGCTTCCCAGCCTCAGCACGAGGAACATTTGGGGACAGAACGTTCTTTTTTGCCCTATGCATTGCAGGACGTTGAGCAGCAAGCAGGGCCTCCACATGGTAGGGCAGTAGCTGGCCTTCCCTGAGTTGTGACAACCCACATTGCCTCCAGAAACATCTGGGGGCATATTCCCTGGGGGACAAGGACAACGGAGCCCAGATTCCTGGGCTGGAAGGCCTGTGTGAATTAATCTGTCCGCGGATGCAGGGTGACAAAACGAGATCCTGTAGCATCGTCTGAACACACGTGGTGGTGAGGAGTCACGCAGCTCCAGCACTGGGCTGGCACCCCCAGCAACACCAAATGCAAGAAAAACAGCAGCCAACGTAGACAGAGGCCGTCCTGGTGCTCTCCAGTTCTTTATTGGGATAAATAACAGCACATGGTGACATGCCATGTGACATTTCCCCATTCCCCATCAATAGTGCAGGCAATGCTGGGTTTGGGACGCCACAGGTTGCAAGCATGGCTTCCGCTGTCAGCCCGACGGCCTGATCAAAGCAGGGCCAGTGTTTTAGTGGCTTTAATTTAATATCCAGAAATCCAAAGTAAATGTTGCTTCGAACAATTAAAAAGACAACCAAATACTGGCACAGAAGGGGGAGGAAGAGGATTCAGCTGTTTTAAATAAAGTCACTTTTTGTCACATTCAGTTAGGACACAGAGGGACTCTGGGCTCGGGGGCCAGCAGACTGGCCACGGCCAGGCGAGGCAGGGGCTCACACACAGCAGGACCAAGGGTGAGTGTCTCACGGCCTCGCCCTGCGTCGCCAGGTCCTGCACACCCGACATGTCCTTGCACAGGGCTGGGCAGTTTCTCTCCGTGGGGACAGACACAAATAACCTCACTTTTTCAGAGAAAAATAGCATAAGAATGAGGTGACAAGCAGAAAGAAGGTTCCAGAGCTTCCTTGAATTCACAACTAAGAGAGGGTTTGAATTCCAAAGGGTCCCCAGGGGAAGTCAAAGAAAAGCTGTTCCTGGGGTACAAGTTACTCCAGGATGCCCAGTGTGGGGTGCACGGGGAGGGGGAGAGGGGACCTCACATCCAGGTGGTTATTCTCTCCAAACCAAAAGGGCCCTGGCTGACTGCAGGAGAAGAAAGTCCCTCCCAAGGCCAGACAACACTGAACTTGACCTCAGAACTGGCCCAGGCCTCGGTCCAAGCCATGCCATGAATGCTGACTTACACTTCCAAGTGAAAGGAAGACAAAGAGAAGAGTAAAGTCAAGGGGCCTTTGCAGCTGTGCACGAGGCACACTACACCCTTAACCCTTGTCAAAGAAAGCACGTGACAGGTCACACTTGTGTGGACCCACAGCCTTTACCGTTTACCGGTCCTGCTGTGGAGCAAGGTGCCAGCTCAGTGTCCTCACACAACCACAGCCTAGCATTAGCCCACTCAAAAAAAAAAAAAAAAAACAAGAGTGAAATGCACACGGGGTTGGGCATGTGTTCCCCAGGTGGGGGGCTGTGAGGTCACCCAGGAAGCTGAAACCACTCCCTAGCAACCGTGTCCTCCCCTTTGATGGCCTGGAGCTGCTGGCTTGGGCTGAAAACCCCAGTGTTCTCTGCAAATCCTGACCTCGCCTCCTTCCCTCCTCGGCCCCATGCCCTCAGGGATGCCGAGCCCACCTGAGAGCAGGGCCAACCCAACTCCAGGGCTGCTGTGGCTCTGCGTGTAAGGAAGGTGGCACAGAACATCCCAGCCCCAGATATTGTGTCAATGAGGCTCTTTAATGTCACGGACTCCCTCAGGAGACACAGTAATACCGTTTTAATTATTTCTTTCCCCTGCTGGGAACCCACCGCCATCCAAGCGGCTATTCTGAGCCCATCCCCAGCCTAGCAACAGTGGAGCCAGGGAGAATATTAAACTGTTTTCTAGAACTTCCATGCTGGCGTTCAATATTAACAACTTGCTCCGCTGCTCTGATACATGGTAGGGAGGAGGGGATCTAAACCCTTAGAAAGGCCGATCTTGAGAGCTTGAGGAGTGGGGTGGCTGTGCAGGAGGCCTGGGGCTGGTGAGAGACAGAAGGGGGGGTGTGGTGGGGGACTGTCACAGGGCCGGACCTTCGAGACCAGGGGCCGCCCAAAAAACAGGGCTGATGAAACCCCCATTTCTCTCCAAAGCTGAGGTGAGCAAGGGGCAAACAGCCCTGTCCTTTCATAGGACACACAGAAGAGAGATGCCATCGGGGCTCTGGGAGGAGTGAGAAGAACACGTTACAGGGCTGTTATGTCCCTGTTATGGGGCTGAACCCACATGCTGGAATCCCGGCCCCAGCACCTCAAAGGTGCCTGCTTTTGGACATGGGATCAGTGACAAAGTCATTAAACTAAATGAGGTGTCATGGGTGGGAAGGGGGCCCACTCCAGTATGACTGGGGTCCTTTAAGAAGAAGAGACTGGGACCCAGGAACATACAGAGGAAGACGCCGTGAACACACAGAGAGAAGCAGCTGAGGAAGAGGCCTCGGGAGAAGCCAGCCCTGCCCATGCTGCCATCTCAGACTTCTGGTCTCCAAGCTGTGAGACCCTGTGTCTGTGACGTTGGAAGCGCCTGGTCCAGGGCGCTGAGGGCAGCCTGGAAGAGAGGCTGCTTCCTCTTCTAACACTTCTAAATCGCACACATTCCCAAACAGGGCATCTGAGATGGGAGGTGCTGGCAGAGCTGGCAGCATATTCAGAGCCAGCTCCCTCGGCCACAGCAGGAGCAGACAAGCCCTCTGCAGCTGTCCTTCTGTGGGCCGTGGGAGCTGGGTCACCTGGACCATGGGAGTTTGTGCAAAAGGTCAATAAAAACACCAAGTGGCCAAGAAGCCACAGGAACACACAGGGTAGGACACACTCTCGTCACATCTAAAGCTTCTGGGACTTGGGAATGAAGTTGTTTAAACTGAAAAATCGTTTTTACTTAAAAGATCTCGCTTCCAGGGAGAGCCCAGCCTGGGGGGTTCCCAGACAGCTGCAGCGAGCCCCGAGGAACTGCGCCACTTGGAAACGTGGGGCTGGAGTGGCCACCTGCTGCATCACACGGAGCGTGGGCGGCCCTGCTCGGCTGAGGGCTGGGGCGTTTTTGATCAAGGCAGGGAACAATCACACAGCATCTCCTGGAAGGAGATGAAGCGAGGCCTCAAACACAGTGTGACTGTTTAGAAGATTGCATTTCAAAGGCCTCACCCACGCAAATCACAAATCACGAGGGAGGAAGGTTGAGAATAATCAAACCAGGCAGGGTGGGGAGGGTGGCTGCACAGCTGGGACAGGAGCCCCCAGGGCCCAAGGGATGACCCACTTTTCTCCCTCTGGAAACCATCCCTGCTACTGTTAGCTGTTCCTCCATCATTCTACATCCTTGTACTTGGTGAAGAGGTTGTAAAGGACCCGCAGGGTGGACTTGAGGTCCAAGTTCACCACGTCTGCAAAAGAAAACAGACACTGTTAGTGGAACGAACTCAACTGCTCTCCCAGTGCCGTGACTACCACCAGGCCCAGGATGTTCTGTCAGGACACACAGGCTGCCAGAGGAGACCTGGCACGAGCCAGCACCTTCCATGAAGACCAGCACATAGGACGGTGAGGACAGAGCTCTTCCAGCCCCTCTAGGACCTGTGTGGGGACATGTTCAAAGACCTGAGGGTGGCGGGTGGCCAAGGACATTCTTTGGGGTTTGAGACTTCATTAACACTTAAGAGACACGAAGGCCTGCTCTGGGGCCTGACTGCTGTCTCGGTAGGAAAGGGGCCTTCCTGAGAGCCGGGCACCTTAGCTAAGTGATCTCCTTGGACGAGGCCTCAGCCTCTTCACCTGTTGGACCAGAGGATTCTGAGGGTCCTCTGCACTCAACATCCTGCTGATCAAAGGCAGCCACGGAGGGGCCACCTTGCTTTACCTCTGCTGCTATCTAACCTCAGGAGGAAGAGGTGAGGGAGACAGGTGGAGGCCAGGCTGAATCAACCTCAGCCTTGCCAGTCACGGGGGGCTGGATCTCAGCCTCTTCCAGGAGGGATATGAGGACAGCCTCTTGTCCTTCTCTACCCGCATAAATATGAACAAAGATGGCAGTGGGAATGGCTTGCCCACCTGAACTAAGGTCTGTGGGCTCCAGGGTGTGCCAGAGCTCTGCAGGGAGCCTGGGGTCCCTGCCTAGTGGGTCACCCCAGCTCTCCACCAGCCCACTGCGGGTAGTGAGAGAGGGGAGCAGTGGCCTCTGAACCCAGAAGGCCAATGTGAAGGGGCACTTTTGGAGGTGTGAGTCACCCCCCCAACACACACACACACAATCACTAGGCATTCACCAGGAATCAAGGGGTTAGCCAGCCACAAACACCCTAGGTCTGGATCCTTGCTGGGGAAACACACATCCACGCCCAACCACAGGAGTCTATTTTGGGTCCCTCACAAGTTGACCTGGGTGTCCCTGTGTGTTCCCCAAACATCCACCCACTGCCTGGCCCCGTGCTCAGCCCTGTGAACCTCCAGCCCTGGCTCTACTTAAGATGGTGTCCCTAGGCACAACACCAGGATGCCTGGTTCTGTGGCACCCTCCTACATGGCTCAGGGGTGTGAGAGAGGCAAAGAGATTTCTTCCCACAGGGGTCTGTCAGTGCCTTTAATATTCAGCTGCACCCAATTTTCTAACAGGGCTCCCAAGCAGTGTGTCCACACATGGCTGAGCCTGACTTCCCCAGAGCACCTATCTCACTGCTTGGACCTTCAAGGTCAAGTGGTTTTTGTTGATGGTTTTGGGGGCCAGTGCAAGGCATCATGCTTGTGAGGCAGGTGCTCGTACTGCTTAAACCCACATCACCATCCAATTTTACTCTGGCTATTTTGGAGATAAGGTTTTGCTTTTGCCCAGGCCAGTCTGGACTGTGAGCCTCCCATTTTAAACTTCCCATTGTCACTGTGATGACAGACAAGTGTCACCATGCCCAGCCTTTTTTCTGTTGAGATGGGGTCTTACAACAACCCCCCCTCCCTCCAGCTGGCCTAGAATAGCGATCTTCCCGTAGCTTGGGATAACAGGTGTGGGCCACTGCACCCAGCTTAAGTGGTTATTAAAGAATGGCGGCCTTGCTATAGTATTCCTCCTGATGACAAGGGAGGTCAGAGTAGAAGGATCGCTTGAGCCCAGAGTTTGAGGCCAAGCTGGATGACACAGCAAGACCCCATCTCAAAACAATAAAATGAACTGGCACGGTCAGTCCTAACTGTAAGCTCCTCCCCAAAATGGGGAGAACAAGTTGCTGAAGTTGACAGAGCCCTGCCCATGAGCCAGTCACGGGACACATGCAGAAGACCACATGGTGACCATCCAACCACCTCTGAGAGCTGGCTTTACTCCCGGTCATGAGGGGGCACGGGCCGGGGCCTCACCTTCGGGGCGAGCCTTGGGTTTCTTGAGCCCTCCATCCAGCATCAGCTCAAAGGCGAATGACACATTGTGGACCTGGCACAGAAGAAGTTAACATGAGAGCCTGTGGCCTCCTGTCCCAGGCCTGCCTGCCACCCACTGTTTCCCTAGGAACTCCAGATGATAGTGAGTGCAGAGGTGACAACGACCCAGACAGCCCACGGCAGGGCACAGGGTGGCAGAGAGGGCCACCAAGTGCTGCTCTGCGCCCAACTCTGGCCACATGATAAGTGACAGTGGTCCCATTTTATAGATGGGGAAACCGTGGCTCAGGGAAACCAAGTGCCTTGTGAAGGCACCCAGTCCTGGGCCCTGCCCTGTGAGTGGCACATGCTGTCTATGGAAGGACATGCAGGGGAGGACTGGCCAAGTCTCTGCAGGACACGATGCTCTCTGGGCAGTGGTGGTCCAAGCCCATAAGCATGTACCAGGACCTTATTGGAACCAAAACCAGCCTGGTGGTAGCTGCAAGTGTCAGCCTGCAGGGTCCTGGTCCTAGCCCTGACCAGCTGCTGCTGCAAAAAGGAGACATCTACCCCACCTTCTCCCTGAAATGAGAGGGTGAGTACCACTGGCCCAAGAATGCTGGAGGCTTTTATTCTGCTAAGAGGTTTAGAGTGGGAGGAGTCTTATAGCCCTGCTTCAAGTCCACCTGAGATCCTGAATCGGGATTAACCAAATCCCACCCAGCTTCCAACTGCTCTGAGCAAGGGAGGACGGCGGAGGGGATACCACCAAACCACCAACACAGAACAGATGTCAGCTGGAAAAGACCCAAGGGCTCTTAGTGACCATCTGTCCCTTCAACAGTACTATTTCCATGCCTTCAGTGTAAATGAACCAGGGGCACAAATAATAATTTCAATTGCAACATAACTCAATAACTGATGTCCACCCAAGTGAGTCAAACCCGCAACACGGGAAAGAACTCGGTTAGCTGAGAAGCAAAGGGGCGGCTTCTGCCAGCAGCCCCTGCCCCGCAGCCCCAGGTAGATACAGATGCAGCCCAGGGACAGAACGGGCCGCTTCCATACAGACCAGAGCAGTTGGAATGATCAGGGTCCTGCTTTGGACACTCCTGGGCGCTCCTGAAGGTGGACTGGACATAGCCAAGGGACGGCCACATGGACTTTCTCTGCAATTCAGAGTTTTAGAAACCCTGGCAAACAGAAAGGAGAGCAGAGGTTCCCGACAGAGACTCTGTCCTCTTGGACTGTGACCATGCTGAGGCTCTGTTCCCTCAGGACAGAGGGAAAAGCACTTCGAAGCTGCAAAGCCCTTTCTGGAATCTTCCTCCAGGCTTAATTCCACTCCACAGACAGGGGCTCTGCGGAATTGCCCAGAAAGATGACCAGTGGGTGCAAGGTGCTTAGCACATGGCCGGCACGGTCAGCTCAAATGGTGGCCTTAGGACCCAAAACCACAGGTAGTCTGTGCACATCTGATAGGGGGCACGGGGTGCCGTTCATTTCTTGGCCAGAGTCCACAGAATCCTGTGTTTCTAGAAAAATCTATCACCATTGTTTAAAAACAGTGGTCACCACTATGCTTGGGGTAGCAGCCCACATTTTGCTTGTGGAATCTCTTAGTCCAACCCCCAGCAAGTGCAGAGCTGCTGCTGAGGTCCCCGGGGCCACAGCAAGTACACCAGGTGGTCTCAGCCCACAGAAGTTGACAGTAGACCGTAACACCTGCAAGTGGTGCCAGGCCCACCTGCAGGAACTCAGTACCGCACAGGGCAGGCCACCCCCCCACAGGAGCCATGAGTGCTCCTGTGATAGCTTCCTAGGGGGTGCTATCATGGCCACCCCCTAGGAAGAAGGAAGAAAACACAGAGACTGGAGAAGGAACAATCAGAATCCTCAACCCCCCACCAAGGAGAGAACGCAGCTGCCCGCAGAGTCACGCATGCCAAGCTCTCCTTCCCCAGGGCACAGGGTATGAGGCGTGTGCTGCATGCTGATCCCCAAAATAACCTTCCCTTCCTCACTCCCACTCACTGGCAAAGGGGCGTGAGTCTAGGCCCCAACCCTCCTCGCCAGGGCAGCCGCTGACAGAGACTTTCATCGCTGTTTCAAAAGAAAGCAAGCCAGGGCTGCGGTGATGTCACTCTGCCATTTGTGCAAAGCCTTGTTTGGGCAAAGACCCAGTTCTAGACATGGCTAAATCCACGTTGTGCCAGGTTTTTATTTATTAGCTCCAACAAAGAAAAGATCGCTCCAAACCAACGTGGCTTCCGAGCAGCCTGGAAATGCACGAGCTTCTCCAGCCAAGCTTTGGACCTCTGGTTTCTAGAACGGTGCACAGGCACCTCGTGTCCCGAAGAGTGCTGTACAGTTCTGCTCATTCCCTGAGCTTGTACACTCGTTCTCTCTCCCCATTCAACATGGCCTCCGACGTGCCAAGGCCTCTCTAATCCACTCTGACCTCATCTCAGCTGATGAGACAGGAATGCCACTTGACCATGAGCAGGCAGCCGGTGGTGCCAGGAGCGCACAGACTGATAAACACTGGCCCATTTTCTGCTGCTTCTCTGGCTGCTGCCACCCGCTTACATTGTCTGCATATCTGACTCATGGGTCTAGCGCTTTGGGAAAATAAAATGTCAGATGCCTGAGTCCAAAGCCACCCAAACCATCCTTAGCCAGGTTTCCAAAGACAAGGTGCTACTACCGCTGTGACAGGCTCACTGTGGGGAGCCCTGGGCAGGAGGGATGGCAAAGAGGAGCCCACTCAGAGGGCAGGGACAGTGACACAGGTGTGTGGGCAACCCAGACTCAAGCATCAACCCAGACAATCCTATCTGAGAAAGTTTTCCTAAGAAAACCACAGGAATAAATTTATATATGGTGTATAACAGCGACCCCTCCCCCCACATCCTTGGGTTCTGAATATGCAGATTACAAGTGCAGATGGAAAACATTTGGAGAAAAAAAATTACACCTGCACTGAACACTTCCAGACTTTCTTTCCTTGTCGTTATTCTGTAAACAACACGTGTAGCAAGTATTTGCATCACACTTGCTTTGCGTTTCAGTATTGTAAGTCATCTGCGTGGGTTCTTGGCAAATACCATGCCCTTTTACATAGGGACGTGAGCATCTGCTGATTTGGGGACCCCAGCAGGTCCTGGAACCGGTCCCCAGCAGATATGGAAGGTACGACTCTAAATACTTGAGAAGATGTGCTGTTATTTTAATAGGAAAAAAACAGAAATGAGGAGATAGGAGCATGGCTCAAGCAGTAGAGCACCTGCCTAGCAAGCACGGGGCTCTGAGTTCAAACCCCAGTGCTGCCAAAAAAAAAAAAAAAAAAATAGAAATGACTTCCTGTCACAGAGCCATTCAGTAGGACTTTGTACCATCCCTGAAAACAGTGGCTTTTAGGGGAAGCTCATGGAGCAGCCACGCAGGGCTCCTGGCCAAGCAGGGCAGGACTTGCAGCCTCACCAACTTCTGACCACTGTTATTAAAACCAACAGGAGCCTATAGAAAAGTCCCCAAAGAGAATGTAGCAATGGAACTTTGATGTACTGCAGATGGGTCCTTGTCCTTTCTAGAGGGAGCAGCACTGAATTGCAACACATCTGTTGTGCTGTTTCTGTTTTCCATGCGCACGCAAAAAAGGGCTGTCCAGTCAGAAACAGTGACAAAGACCACGCACATACCTTCTGATCAAAGCTGTCTGGAGTCAGGTAGAAGTTGTGGAGGGGAACGAAATAGCCTTCGAGCAGACCCATGAGCAGAACCAGGTACACACCATCTGCAAACTGCACAGAAACACTCAGTGATACTCTGGGTGGGAGGCAGGGTCAATGAATGCTTTGCAGGTGCTCAAGGGAGGAAAAATATTCGAAAACAATCCGTGGGCGAGAGGATCTGGAATTGAGGGAAGAACATGGCACCTGCCACCTTTGGCCAGGGAGACAGTGCAAAGCCTACAGTGCCCATCCCAGGACCCCCGGCCCCTCCCTGTCAGCTCTGTGACTCTGCCCTCTGAATTCATGACAGAAGTCCAGGCAAGAGAGCCCCTAGTCACCTCCAGGAATCTAGAACAAATAACCTCTACACCTGATGACAATCCTGCCCCTCTCTGAATAAGCCAGGCCCCCGTATGCAGGACAACAGTCCTGAAAGGGCAGGAGGAAACCCGGGGGCAGCAGGTGGCCACCAGCACCCGGGAATCAGGACTTTGGCATCCTTATGGGAATGGCGTCTCTGAGGAGCTAAGACCTCTGTGAAATCCCTGCAGCGTGAGGACCCGGTAGCCCTACCGGTCTCACAGTGGAGGCCCAATGTGGTGTCCACAGACCACGCAGTTATATAAATTAAAGTTGTTTGAATGTAGTTGATTCATTTTTTAAAATTTTGGTAAAATGTATACAACATGAACTTTCCCATCTTAACCAGTTCAGTGGCAGAAGAATGTTCACACTGTGGTGTGCCATCCACCATCCACTTCCAGAATGGATGTGGAAGTTTAGTCTCAGCCTCCCAACTAAACTCCATCCACCAAACGCTGACTCCTTGCTCCCAGCCCACAACCTGCGTTCAACTTGCACTATGGATTTGACTCCTCTGGGGACCCTGTGTACGGAGGGTCACACAGCACCTGTCCTTTGGTGCCTGGCTTATTCTGACTTTTCTTCTGAAGTGATTTATTTAATTTTGGCAAAAATATAATATAACTGGTGTATTTTACCATCAACATAAACCTTACCACCTTAACCACTCCTTAGTGCAGTCATGGCAAGCACGTTTACAATGTTGTACAACTGATCTCTAGAATTCCTGAACTTGAATTTTCAAAAAAATTAAAGTACAAATTGAGGTCCTGGGTTTCACCAGCTGTATCTCAAGTGCTCACCACATAGCCAGCAGCTGCTGTACTGGACAGTATAGCCAGGGGAAATCCAGGTCACTAAGGGAAGGTCTCTTGCTATTGAATACAGAAGATTCAAGTCATGATACCTGGACAGGTAGGAGGGGCTGGGACGCCCAGCAGGCCCTCAACTTCCTGAGACTGGGAACTCATAATGGGTAAATTAAAACTTGAAGAACAGAAAATTTTTATTAAAAACAGCAAACATCCTAGGCAGGCCCCCACAGCTCCCAAACCCCAACAATTCTTAAGTAGAAAGGTAAAAATCACAAGTGTGGTATATCCAAAACCCAGAACAACTGACAACGATGCCAGCTGACGGCTAACCGAGACTGGGTGAAGCAGTTTATATCGTGTGATATAGCTGAGTAAACAATGACAAGTGCAGTCTCAGTTCAGAGTTCTAATCTGAGATTCTCTGGCTATGACTACTGGTGCTGCTGAGAAGGGAGGCCAGTTCTCCACACTGCAATGACAGCACCAATGGCCAGATTTCCTGGGCCTCGCAGTGTGCGCTATTTTGCTCCTCTGCCTCTCGTCCTGGGAGTTAATCCTGGGGAGACAGACAAGGGCACAAAGACCTGTCAGGGAGACGTCCAGTCACGAGGGCTGGCTTAATCTTCACAATGGAAGGGAAGGTGGTTGTTAAAAGACAGATTGACAGAAAGACCGAGCAAGAGAAAAGGGACCAGAGAGAGAAAGAAAGAGAAGAGAGAGAGAGAGAGAGAGAGACTTTCCCTAACAATAAAAGATGCCCACAATGTATTTAGGAAAAAATATACCACAAACACTGTACAGTGTGACGTGACCACTGTCATTTAAGATGGTCTTTTTATGCATGCCGAATCATCTAGAAAGATGTGGTTAGTTACGTCTGCAGAGAGAAGAATGCCTATCGGCATACATGTACAATGTTAGCAAGCTGATAGAAGTAAAAAATGTGCTTGCACATGATGCAGAAATAAATATGCACCTTAAAAGCAGACCATTCAGCTCCCAAATACGGACCATGCCCACAGGTAGCCACAGACTCAGAACACAGGCTGGAAGGGAACCTTTGCCCAGCTATCTGGGTGACAGGATTACGGGTGGCTTTTATTTGTTTTGCTCATCTGCATTTTCAGACATTTCTACCATGAACCTGAATTACTTTTTTAATTAGGAAAGCAAAAGAGAGAAGTTAAGGAAAGAGAAAGGAGTGAGGGAAATCACCCGGGGATTTAAGCAGGATGAGCTATGCATTTAAGAAGTCTGCACCAAGACCTCAAAAGACTGCAAGTGCAAGCACCCAGCTAATCCAGGGAAAATTATATTTTGTCTTTAATGCTTGCTGAGAACTTGAAAACATATTTTCACGACGCTACTTTAGCTCTGGGGGGGAGGGCATTCGGTACACATTCACTAGAGGGATATTTATCAAGCATTGCTATGTACTGGCCATGGAGCTACAGAAGCAGAAGGGGACAGAACATTCTAGACCAAGGGATCTGCACATACAGAGGCCTGCGGTAGGGCAGGGTGGAATCTCAGGGGGTGTTATAGGGTGAACTATCCCCAGGACCTGTGCATGTGACCTTATTTGGAAATAGGGTTCCGCAGATGGTCTCATTAGGGTGGGCTGTAATTCAGCATGACCATGCCCTTATAAAAAAGAGAAAATGCAGGCACAGAGACATGCACATAAGGAAAATAACATGTGAAGATGGAGGCAGAGACTGGAGCCATGTGTCTACCAGCCAAGGAAACAAAGATAGTCAGGAAAACAGCAGACAATAGGGGAAAGTAAGGGAAGATGCTCCCTCATGGTTTGGAAGGAAGCAGGCCTGCAATACCAGAGCCATGTGAACACAAATTTCTGCTCTTAGCCGTTTGATTTGTGACTGCCCCAAGAAGCAGAGTGTCTAAGCGGCACACAACGGGAGCTCCCATCTGTCCCATGCCCCACCCGGGGTCAAGGAGCTGCCTGGAAACCCAGGGCAGAGGCTCCATTGACCTGAGCACCACATACCTGGGTCTCCAGCTCGGTCACCTCCAGGTTCAGCTTGTTCAGATGCTTGTTCACGAAGGTGATGAGCGACTGTCGGGCAAAGAGACAAAGGAGCCATGAATCAGGGACCCTCATTCAGCCCAGGCATTTCTGGGCAGCCTGTGCCCTCCTCTGCTGGCTAACATAAGAAATCCAGGTTTTGAACACAGCACTCCTCACTGCCTTGCTTTAATGGGACAATGCCGCCATGTGCCCAGGCAGGAGAGATCACTAGAACCATCCTGCACACGTGCCATACCTAACAACCACACAGGACATCAGCATTCTTAAAAATAGAATTGCCTGGGGGAGAGAATTTAGTTTTCAAGCATATCCTAGATGGAAACTCGAGTAGCAAATGGCGCACTCACAGGACAGGGGAAAGGTGGCCCTGGTCACATACACCACCTCCTCAGTCAGGACATTATCCAGGCTGCAGGAATTTTGGAGCGCTGTCACCTGTGTACCTAGGAGCACTGGCTTCTCCCTGGCAAAAGCTTAAAATTTGTCAGCCAGCAAACCCAACTTTAATGGAAACTTAGTGTCCTCTGCCTGCCCAATCCAGATGCGATGTCATTTCTTCTTCATTCTGTCCAAGTCACTGTGTATCTACTGTGTGACATGAAGACAGGAACAGTGAGCACCATTCTGAAGAGCTTGCGGACACTGCTCCATAGACTTGCAGTAGTGTGTTGGAGGGACATCCCGAGCAAGGTACAGCCCTGCAGGGGACAATGCCCTGTAGGAGTGCCTCATGAGCCCTCAGAGCAGAGGGGGATGTCAGAGTGAGGGAACACTAGGCATGGGGAACAGGGGCAATTGCGCAGAGCCCCAGACCACTTACACATCCTCGAACCCTGCAGCTTCCTGCTGTGGTGGATGTGAGTGAGATGCAGTGAGTGGAGGGTGCGCTGGGGAATCCAAGGAGGTGGCCAGGGTCCCTGCCTTGTCTGGGGCACAGCAACCTGCTCTGGGGGGTTGAGGAAGGGCAGGTTGGGGGTGGGAAGCTGCGAGGCAACTAGAAGGATTCTGTTCTGTTCTGTCCATTGTGGTGGCCCCAGTGATCAAACACACCTTTTCAAACACTGAGCTGTCCCCCACCTGCTGAAGATGAGAAGTAACTTTGGGCCACCTATCACCTGCTGAGTCTTTGCACAGACAGGATGCCTATATAACCTGCCAGCACCCCTGAGAGCTAGGCAATGTCACCATCCCCCTGGACAGATGGGAGCTGAGGCTCACGGGTATGTGGCCTGTCCCAGGCCATAGCTGGTAGGCAAGGAAGTCAGATTACAGTCTTCCTCCCCTGTATGTCCACTAAACTGGTCCTGTCAGGGTACCCGGGGTGGATGTGGTTGGGGCAGGGATGGGGTCACCACTCAGAGGCTCCAAAATATGGCATTCATGACCCACGGGCAACAAGATGGCCCGTGGACGTTAGGATGTGGGTCCCCCAGACTTAGGCAAAGGACTTCAGGGACCAATGATCTCATTGTCTGAGTGGGAACCAGTGTTTTCCGAATGCAGTTCCACAGGAGTGCAAAATGTTCTGCCCAAATTAAATAGATAAATAAATCCACTACCATCAAACAAGGTTGGGACGTGTTTCCTAGCGTGCTCCTTCCTGGAGAATCACAACACCAGGCAGCACGTTAAAGGCTCTGACAAGTGCTGCACCGAGCAACCCATAGAGCAAGCTGTCCTAGCCAGAGAACTCCCTCCTCCATGCTACTGGATGAGGGGAGCACAGCCCCAGGGTGGCCTCCCCAATGGGACGTCTGCAGGCTCTTGGGTAACTGGATGACCAGTGAGGCAGTCTCAATTCCTTTAAGGAGAACAAGCCTTCCTGGCAGATCCCCCCAAGCAGTTAGGACTCTTTGGACTTTTTCCATCATGGGCCACCTGGGCGGGGAGGGCTGCCTTGGCTCCTGCCTGGAGAGAACTCGGAGAGAAGCGGGGACACGGGGACATGTCCCCACACAGATCAGAGCTGGCAGCAGGCGGCTTGTTTACAAGGCGTGCTGTGAATGCAGCCTGGAGGTAATGAGGCCGGTGACAGCCAGCAGGTTGACGCTCTTAAAAACATTTCCACTCCGAGAAAAGGCCTGGAGTCAAGTCAAATGAACTGCCACGAACTGCCACGCGTAATTCACTTAACAGAAGTGGAGCGGAGGGGGCAGGAAGCCGCCCAGGCGCGGGAGCGGAGTTAAAGGGTGCTAATTTTATGCACTGTAGTTACATTTTTGACTGTAATTACATTTCAATCCATGTGCCAAACATTTCAGAGACTCCAAACACTTTCCCACTTCTTCCCAGCAAGCGCCCGAGCTGGAGGAAAGCCAGGCCAGGACGCGGGACCCCCGCGGGACGCCCTACCTTCTTCACCACGTTGAGCTTGTCCGGAGCATGGTCGAAGAGCGTGTCAAAGGCGTCCCGCTCTGCCAGGACATGCAAGAGACCCGTGGAGAAGGGTTATGGATGGGCAGCCATGTGCTGCCTTGTGCCCCGCTGGCCTGGGGACAAGCCTGTTCTGACCCCTGGAGAAGTGTGGTCTCAGTGCACAGGCAGGCCACCTCCTCCTAATTCCCACCATGGCTGAGGGTTGAGCAGGTGATAGGCCAGGGACCAGACACACTTTGAAGCAGCAGCAAAAGGTTAGGCCGGGTGCTTCCAAGAAACCCTTTAACTCGCCTTCCAGCTTTCTATATGGAATACAAGAGTCGCACTTAGACACCTGCCCGGTCACATTGGAGGGCACGAACATACTCATTCCTCTTTCCTATGCTCTGTCACCAAACCTTGTCTGTGAATCTGGTCGCTTCTGCCTCAGTCACAAGCTGCCCTCACACACAGCCCCCTTCACCTGGCCTCCCTCCTCACCCCGTCCCATCCATCCCCCACCCCGGCAGCAAGAGAGTCCTTTAAATAAGTACAACTGGATCCTGTCATTCCCCCTCCCCCAACCCGCTAAAACCCTGCCTCTCCTCACCCTCAGGACAAAGGCCACCCTCCCCCTTGGACTATGGGATACAGTGAGGCTCAGCCCCATGACTCTCCTGCACACGCACCCTCCTGGACTTCCCCAGCCAGCCTCCCTGGGGCTCCTGATGGCATCAGGCTCCTGCCTGCCCCAGGGCCTTTGCACCTGCCTTTCATGCTGCCTCACTGCCCTCAGGTAGCTCATGAGGAGGGCACGAGCCTCCATTATCTGTCCCCTTCCCTGGGTGACATTTCATTTTTATTGGCTTTCCCTGCGCTATCTGTGGCTCCTGGAACAGAGTCCCTATCCAGGGAGTCAGCCCCCGAGGGACACCCGCAGGGATGCAGCTCATGTCTCCCTGTGGTGCTCCATCACCTTCCTCTCCCAGGTGAGCTCTGACCTGCTCCAACTTCTGCCATGTGCTTTCTCATCCTCCACACGGGACAAGCCCAGTCCTATCTACCTGCGGCCACCGAAGGCCATCACTTTGGAAGGCGCAGGGCTGGTTTCCGCAAGGTGCCAGAGGGTGGGGAGTGCATGAAGACAGTTGGACAGAGATGGCTGCAGCCTGGATCCAAGCTGAGGGCTGAGGTCTCCAGGGTGGGTGCAGAGCGGTAGGGGTGAGGGGCAGAGGGCATCTGGAAGGACCAAGGTCCTGACTTCTATCCTCAAGACTTCTGGGGAGTTCAGAAGATGAGAACACAAGGACCCTCTGTTACCACCCAGGGCTTGGGCCCAAACCCCAACATGGAGTCCTGAGGGGCCCAGCCGACACGGTGAGGGTGGGGTGGGATGGGGCTTTCCACCTGCCAAGGGTGGCCAAGGAGCCTGTCTGAGGGAGGAGGAGCAAGAAAGAAGGCACAGAGGGTGGGTGAGGAAGCTGAACCACCAAGAGGAGCCAGCCAGGTCTTTGGGAGGATATGTCCTGGCCTTCTCCCCTCACTCTGACCCCCAAAGGACAGTGCTGGACACCCAGGGACCAGGCCAGGAGGCAGTTCAGAGCCCAGTCCATCCTGGGAGGCTCTACCTTGCAAGAGGCAAAAAAGGGGAGAAGGAAGGTGTATATGTGCGTGCAGGTGTGTGTGCACCTGTGTGCGGTGTGTACATGCACATATGTTACATGCATGTGTGTGTGTGCTGTGTGTTGGGGGTGGGAAGGAAGCACCTTCACCCAAAGGCCATGGGGGGACAGAAAGCTGCCCTCTGACATCACCCCTTTCCTGAGGCAGATGTAAATTTTTCTCAAAATCGTCTAAGTCAAATTATCTACCATAAGACCGTCTGTTAAGGGGCAAAAAAGAAAGAGCTAAATCTTTACAAGCAATCCACAAACTTTCAAAGCGGTTTAAGCAAAGCCCCAAAGCAAGACCTTGACGTCATCGGTATATTTAGCCCGGCCACTGCTGGGCTGGCGGAGTCAGCCACGTGGGGAGGCAGCCGGGCCACGAGGAGCCTCCCACGCTGGCTGCTGCTCACCTGCACCCAGAGGACATGTCATACTGCCATACAGCAGGGAGGGGCAAAGGGCTCTGAGCAGCAGTGGTGGGGACTAGGACACAGAGCCTGGATAAGCATTTAGGAAGGGCAAGCCTGGGAGAACAGAAGGGTAGACCCTGGAGGCACAACCCTGTGGGTGCCAGGAAGGAGGCACCTGGGTCATCCGTGCCCATGTGCGGGGTCCCCAGGTCCAACTGCAGGGTGCCTCTCTGTCTTCGTTGCAGGGAATTGTTTAAATTGGAAGGTTGGCCCCAGCTTGGAATTTCTGCCTTTTGAAGAGCAGGAGGCTGGTGACAGTGAGCCACCTTCCCTCCTGGCACCAGGGAATTGTCCACAGTGATGGGGAGGGGGACTCGACATTTCCCAGCCCTGCCAGTCTCCCCAGGTCCCCAGCACTGAGGCCGGGGACAGCCAGCTCATGGTGTGATAATCTAGCCACATCTTTGCTAGTCTGTCAGCTGCTCCCTGGAGACAGTTGAGTCTGGGCCCCTGCATCACAGGCCAGGAAGGAACTTGAAGTCTGACCCCATTACAGGAAGAGGAGGAAAGGCACTGCAGGCAGAGGGAACAGAATGTGCAAAAAAAGGCGTGAGAAAGCCCAGAGTTGGTTCAAGAGTTGGGTGGCTTGTGAGGGAGGCTGAGGGACCTCATCCTGCAGTGGGAGTCGTGGTGGGCAGAGCGACTTCCAGTGGTGACATCAGACCAGGAGTGTTAGATGTGGCTCTGCTGGCAGAAATGGGGAGATGTACAGGGAGAGGCTGGGGTTATAGCAAGGTGAGGAGAGGATGAGGAGGGCATGAATTCTGTCCTGACAGCTTCAGGAAGGACTCTGGACTGGGTGAGCCGAGGAGGGGGAAGGGCTGCCTGACGGAGAAGAGATATCAGCAAAGCCGTTGCCATGGAGACCAGGCTACAACCTCAGCTCTGGGAGCCTAGCACAAAAAGCCTGCCCCACCTCAGCCAGGACGGTGGGTGCTGGGGGAGGGGAGAGGCAGGACCCTGGGGAGCCCATTCACCTGCTGCAGTGAAGGGCGAGGCACGCAGCTGAAACGGGGAGGGGAGAACAGGGCCAGCCGGCAACCATTAGCGCCGGAGGGTCTGCTGGTATTGCAGAACTGCTCGTGGCAGCTCTACCTGCAGGCAGTGGCCCAGGGCTAGCTGCTGCAGAGGACGCAGACTGAGCAGGGGCTGCTCCAGCCCACAGGATGCTTCTACTCAAAGGAGCTGAGGGTGAAGGAGCAGGGGGCTATGGACGTCCACAAGTTCCACTGTCTTCCAGCATGTGGAGGTGTGTGTGCACACACAGGTGCTCCCTGTGAGCAGAGCACACACCGAGTGTCTCAGAGGATGACAGAAGTAAACAGGGCCAGATGAGGAAGGAGAGCCAGAGGGTGCTAGTTTGGCCCAGGGAAGTCACTATGAGGTGTCAGTTGAGCCAAGAGCTGAAGGAGTGAGCCATGGGGTGATCTAGAGGGAGTGCATCTGCAGGGGTGGAAGTGGGAGCTTCCAGTGTACTCTCAGAGCAGCAAGGCCTGGATACCTGAGAGAGTTGGGGGAAGCAAGGAGGCCAGAGAAGAAAGAGGGCTGTTCAGTGTTGGTCTGAAAGGCCTCAGGGGCCATAGAAAGGGCTGCAGGCAGGAAAAGATTGATTAGGGGTGTTTTAGGGCCCCCAACAATGGTGAGAAGAAACTAGCTTGAAGAGGCCAGCAAGAGCCCAGGAGAACATGGCACCTGGAGGAGGTGGCATGGTCAGACCCTGGCAAGGCAGGGAGGGCTAGGGGACCTGGAGGAGCAAGCAACACAACCAGAAAACCCCAAAAGCCAGGTGGGTGCTGCTCCCTAGAGAGGCCAGGAGCCCTGCTGTGCCAAGGCCGCTGGGTGGGTAACTAGGAGACCTGGGTTTGCGTCAGCAAAAGCCAGGCGGGGGCGGAACTAATTGCCTGTCATCGGCTAATAGCCTGTTTCATCTCCCAAGCACGGTGTACAGAGCCTGTGCAGTGATGAGAACAGCCTCGCGCCTCTCGTGGAACTCAGTCCTGTGGCCTCAAACGTCCCTGTGTTCAAAGCACAGGTGGCTGCGTCCACTTCCATTGCACACCTGGCTGTGGCCTGGGAACTGCACTGCGCACTTGATCCAACGCTTGCTTACAGTTGCCAACTTCTGCCTTGCCTTCTCCAGCCAGACAGAATCTTTAAATTCCCTCAAACTGAACTGAGACCTGATTCAAACACTGAAGTGACAGCTCTAGAAAGACACAATGGCCCTCAGTCACACTTCAAGGTCTCCACTCTGTGGTCATCTTTCTATAATCCCACAGGGGGGTCTACGCCAACCACATGCAAAACAGACAGGTGGCATATGATAGGGGTTTATAGGGCCCCAAACTAGCCTTCTCCTGGACACAGGGCAGGGTGAATGGCATCTGAGGGACACACTCAGGTGTCCCCCACAGGACCTGTGGCTGTGCCCCACTCCACACCCCCTCCCCTATGTCTCTTCTTCAGTGATGGAAACTTGACTCTTCCTTTCACTTTGTTTTTTAACAATGAACTCAAAGCTGTACCCTTCTTAACACACCATGGTGCCCACGTCACTCCCACCATGACTCTCTCTTCTTTAGAGAGAATGGAGCAGCAACCCTGCCCTCAATGAAGGAATCTGGACGCATATGGCACCCTGAGGACCCCCAGCGATGGGCTCCCAGCTCCAGTGGGGAGCTTGAGGAGGCAGGGAATGTCTACTGGGCTTCTTCCTTCTGACAGCCTTGCACCCTTCCCCACTCACTAAAGAGCACAGGCCAAAGGCCTCCCACTTTGAAATATTCCCCATAGCAGCAACCTCGCCCACGCCGCCTCTCACCGAGCTTCCTGATGTTGAGGGTATAACTTGGTCACAGTTGCCAGTGCCTTTGTGATAGTGGGGTCACAGGCTTTGGCAGGATATGGAGAAGCGATGAGCCCCCTCTTTGGGAAGAGCCCTGAATTCACACATCACCACCCCATACCCAAATGCAGGCTGTGGCCAGGTAGCGCACACATGCACCATCTCCCTGCATCCTCTCACCCACCCCTCTATTGTCCCACTCACAGTGAGGAACCAACAGGTGAGGGCCCAGGCCAAACGTCACCAGCAGGGACCTGACCCCAGGCAAGTCTGTAAAACCAGATGCCTTCAGGTGGAAAAGCCATCACAGGAGTTCATCCCATGAAGACAACACTGTGTCCAGGCCAATCCCCCTCCCTTTCTTCTACCCTTGCTCCTCCTGCTGCAAAGCTCCACAGTTAGAGCAGGCACCACATCCCAGAACCTCCTTCTATTCCACCACTTAGCCCCTTCCAGCTTTGAGAGGGGAGCAGGGAGACCCATGGGGGTCCCAGTGGCCCAGGGACCTCAGACTCCCACCATGCACCCCAGGTTACTTACCAAACCGGCCCATCATCATCCTGTGAACAAGATGAGAGAGAGAAAGAGAGAGAGAGAGAGAGAGAAACATAGACAGAGAGAGACAAGAGAGAATGGTCAGATGGCAGCAATCTGCGGCAGAGTGGGGAGACGCAGCAAGGCTCTTCCCGCCCAGTCCCATTTTGCTCTACTGACAGTTGCAAGATCCTCGTTTGCATGACATGTGTGCAAATCTTCCTCTTCACTGGCACCGCACACCGCAGTCACCCTGGGATGCCATTTGGAGGGGACAGACATGTGCACATGACAGGAGGGTTTGACAGGTGGGGACAATCCCAGCAGCTGCTGCCTGGCAGACCCAAGGACACAAGAATATAGCTTACCCAAGTACATGTCAGCGAGTAAACGCCATGCACTTTTGGGACTCCAGAGATAAAAGGACCTGAAACTGTGCCATGAAGGACAAAGACAGCGAGCTTCCTGTAATGCACCTGGTACACAGCCCCTACCCAGTGCCACCTTCCCAGGAGGTCAAGCCCTCCAGGTATGAATCCTCTGGCTCCATGTTTTTTCATAAATGTTTACTCGAGTCTCTACACGCAGGCCACAGAAGCAAACACCCCATTGTGCATCGCTGGAAGCTCCAGGGCTGAGAGTCTCGTAGGCCAAGTTTCTCCATGGGCCAGGAAACTATGAGGATGCGTGTGAGGACTCAGCTACTTGCTCCTGCTTGACAAACTGGAGAGTTCCCTGGAGGGGGTGACCTCATAGCCACAGCTGCCTCTAGGAAGGCTCTGAAACCAGCTGGGAAGTGGTAATTGATGACACCATTAATAAAGTAAATGTTACTGCAGGAGGGTGTGCTATGAAGGGGACTTGGCCAACAAATAGCCAAAGGCAGGTAGGATGTGTCACGATGGCCTCCTGGGTCACCATATGGTTTTCAGCAGACATCACACAGGTTTAGATGACCCATCAGATACATACCAGCCACAGGGGGGGAAGAGGCAGGAGGGAGATAACCCAAAATCAGGAGACCAGGCTGGAGGCTGGTGGACAGCCTGGGGCACTGGCCTGGAGAAGTGACTGAGGCCACTCCAGACACCTCACCTGCCATGGAGTAAGGCTGACTGAGGGCTGGGAAACCCCAGCTCCTTCTCTCAGTGCTCAGGACTGCCTGGTATCCAGCCGAAGGGAAGCACCCCCTATCCTGACTCAGGGCACCCCTCCCCAAGTTCCCTTAGGGACTGCAGCACTTCCCATGCCTCCCTGTGCAGGATTTTACATTCTGCAATGTGTCCTTTCTCGGCAGCTGACGCATAGCCCTGGAGGGCAGGAACCTCATCCCACACACCCCTAGCCTCTCCTGGCATCCCACTGGGGCCTGGCACCCAGCCAGTCCCCTGAGTGCTGTACACAGCTGGTGCTCTTCTCCCATCTTCTCCAGACCTCCCTGGCTCTACCCAGAATGGCTGTGGAGCTCACAGTTCCTCCTTGCTCCTTCTCTGGTACCCCCTGCTCCGTGGGGACTGCAAAAGATGGCCATGGCTTGGTCCCATGGTTGCATGCCCGCCCAATGGCAACAGGCTGTGCTGCTCCTGTTGGGAGGTGGTGTCTGTCCTCACCCTTGGCCTAAGTTCACCTGTGATTTGCATTGACCCACAGAAGGTCATGGGAGTTGAGGTCCAAGATAAGGTTATACACTCACTGCTGTCTCAGAACGCCCTTGGAGAAGCCTGACCCGTGAGGAAGAGAGACCGTTGGGGAGGCCACCTTGGCCTGCCCCGCCCTGGAGGAGCCCTCAGACTTCACAGTCATTCAGGCAAGTCCAGGGAGAACAGCTGAAGAACTGCCCAGCTAAGCCCAGCACAAATGGCTGACATGGAACTGCTAGCAAATGACATGGGTGACTGGTCTCCTACATAGCAGTAGACAAGCAAGACCCCACCCAACCTGGTTCCTCTCAGCTGCCCTCCAACTGCTGTTGGGCTCCAACTGCAGCAGAAGCCCACTGTGCCTGCACAGGCCACCTTTCCTAGCTCTCCTCCGTCCCCTTCCCGAGCCTGGAGCTCCCGTGGAGGGCCTGCACGGGCCTCATCTGCCACACTGGAGTCTCCTCTGCTTCCCTGGCAGCTCGCATGTCATGTGTGGCTAGTTTCTGGGTCAGCCTGTTTTTGAAAAAACCTTACGTGGATTCAGAGCCCTGTAATTAGTCTTTCTGTGAGTGGAGCTGATGGGTTTGCTGAGTTTGCTGATGTTGTCTTAAACATTCTATTTCATCTGAAGCAGGTTTCGTGTGGCACAAATGCATGAATGTTTAAGCCCCTTAATGGTGTTTTTAGGAGAGCTAAAAACCACACACATGTACTATTGGGCTTGTGTTTTCAGTAGGGCTGAAGCCTTTTAGAAGTATTTTAAAATTGCCTCTGGCTTCCCCTAAGAGATGAGAGAGGGTTCAACAATGTCCGACAAAGGAAAGTTCTGGTTAGACAGACGTGTGGCTCCCTCCCTCTAGGGGGGCCAATAAAGCAACTGAAGGGGCTGATCCCTTCCTGAACTCACGGGCTCTGTGCGCTCTGTCAGCCTCTCTCACTCCCTTGCCCCCACATTCTTAAAGCTTACCTTCTACAATAAGCACTGAAAACCCAATGCTTTGGAAGGTCGCTCAGTCGTGATGTGGAAAATGTGGAGGAAAGACATGAGGAAGGAAAGCCAGGGTGGAGGCCCGCATGAAAATGCACTCTGAGATTAAGGGACAGACATGGAGGGAAGGACAGTGTACAGAGGCTGCCTCCCTGGCGACAGTGGCAGCCTGAGCCCAACACGCACGGGGCCCAGAGCCCAAGGACAGGCAGCAATCCACTTACTCTGTGGTTGTGGTCAGCTCCTCAGAGATGTGGCTAGAATGTAGCAGGCCTTCCCGCTTCTGAAAACCCCAAAATAAACAAGTAAACACACAGTCAATCAGGCAGGGCAGTGATGAGAACAGGCTTTCTGATAGGGTAGTAGAAGCCCTGTGCAGATGGCCGTGGACAGGAGGCAGTCTTAGAAGAGGGTGCCCAGCATCCAGGTACACCTGGGCAGTGTACCACAGGGCACCCGTTCAGTGGCTGTGACCTGTCCCCAACCTGCTCCCCACCCTCTGTTCTCCACTTTGCCTTGAGGCTGGCCTCCACGGAGGCTCAAGAGAAACATCCTAGGCTAGACTTCCCAAAGGACCCCAAAGCCTGTGACTGACTGGGACAGAAAGCAGTTGGCAGGTATACAAGTGACACCAGGGAGATAATGCATGGGTACTGGGGTCAACAGGGTCCCCCAAACTCATGTGCACCTAGAACCTCAGAACATAACTTTCCTTGGCATAACTTGCAGATAGCAGTTATGGTGAGGCCACACTGGGTGAGGATGAGCCCTGACTCCAACATGACCAGAGTCCTTATAAAAGGAAAGAGATGCAGAAATAGACAGAGGAGAGTCATGGCCATAGACCTGGGATGCCAAGGACTGCAGTGTACCCCGAAGCTGAGCATGGCAAGGTAGGCTCTGCCCCTGGAGGCTGCAGAGGGGGTGTGGCCTGCAGACACCTTGATTTCGGGCCACTGGCTCAGAGCTATGACAGAAGAAATCTGACTGCTGTTTGAAGCCCCCAGTTTGGGGCACTTTATTCCAACAGTCCTGGGAAACTAACTAACATTGTTCATGGTTTGCTTCCCTGGGGATCTGGCAGGAATACAGAGGCAACAGTGGTAGGGGATCTGGGGTGACAGTGGAGTGGCCACCACGTCCCAAAGGAGGAATAGGTGGAGCCTGAGGTCAGCTAATGCAATCAACACCACAGGCTCCCACTTGAACCCCCTGAGAGATGGAGAACTCACTTCCTGATGAGGCTGACACCACCTGGATGGGGGCTCCCCTCTATTTCCTGAGCTGGCCTGCACAGAGTTCTCAGGGCTGGTTCTTGTTAGTGAAAAACCGCTCCTGGGCACTGTCAGCCTGCTCCTGGCTCACTCTGATTCTCAGGAGAGCCCACTGAGGAAGACCCATGGACGTTTAGTTCACTGACCCACACACCAGGCATCCGTTAGGCACCTATTAGCTGCTGGGCCCAAGGGAAGGCGTTCAACAAGAAGCTGCCTGGTTTAAAGGTCTGTAGCATCACCGATTTTATGGGGAAATCACAGCAGGTCAGTGAAATTGTGATCTTCCCACAGCCACGCCATAAGAGGCAGATGAGGCCTGGCCTTCATTCCTATCACCCACTAAATGTCATGTGCCTGGCTTTCCCATCTCAGATTAGACAGTCACTTGAGGTGCCCACAGGCCAGGGGACCACAGGCGATGCAGAGGTGGCTCTGAGTGAGATCTGAGGAGGCAGCTTCTGAGGAATTGTGTTGGCCAGCTCCTGGACCTTCCATCTGGTTTCCTTCCATTAGGCGTGGCCCAAGGCATCCCATAACCCTGGTCAAGGCGGAGAGCGCCAGTGGTGCTTGCTTGGGACAGCAAGACTTTCCACAAACCCAAATGATTATCTTGGACCAAAGTACAAGTCTGAAAGGAAATACCCCACCCAGATCCTGAGCTGGCACTGGGCTCGCGGGGTCGGGTGTGACGTAGGTAGGTTTGGGAACTGTATCCCATGTGTCCTTGGGAAGCCTTTCTTGGAGGCTGGCTGCCTGCATGTGAGTAGCCAAGACAAAGGCTGCAGAAATGGTCCCTGGGGACCAAGTTACTGCCACTGACCACAAACACCCTCCTTAGGAAGGACACAGAGATGGCAAGTGACCTTCACAGGGTGCCAGAGAGGGGATGCCTGTCAGATCATGGTAAAACTCCCAGGGTAACAGAGAGGTCAGAACAGCTTCAGAAAACACAGGCCCAGCCAGGTCCTCCTGGACCACAGAGACTACGGGACTGACAAGTTTAAAAGCCAGAGAACAGAGTACAGCCGGCTGTCTCCAGTAAAATAAACAGCCAGGACGTCCAGGTTCTGAGTTTAACCTCAACTCTCTGGCAGAAGCAGTTGCTCCTTTACACATGGTGTGTTGTCCTGACTTAGTGTCCCCAGCAGCCCAGGCAAGTGCTAGGTACCTCGTAGGTCCTTAATACCTGTTTACTTAATGAGACTGTGTGCGCAAACCTGGGGCAGTGTACACTGAAATGTTATAGGAAACGCTGAGTCACAGGCAGGTCCATATCTGCCTCCATTTGCAGGACCTTGGGTCCTGGCTTCATTCTTCCAAGCGAATCAAGAGAAAATGAACCTGAGAGGGGAGATAATGGGGCCCAATGATACAACAGCAAATGCAGAGAGCCTTTAATTTGGGTATGCATTTCATCCCACTGGTCTCAACCTCCTCCAGTGAGTAATAGGCACATTCGAGGGGATTGAATTCTGACAAGCTGGCTTTGGGGAGAAATGAATGTTCCTCTCAGAAATCTGGGAAATTAAACCTCAACACCCTCGTGTCTCTCTTCAAATCAGTGCCATTGTTCGGCTCCAATCATTTATCCTGAAGCCAGAGTGAGACATAAATTTAGTCAAGAGGGGAAAATAGAAGGTAGCCTCTTAAGGACAAAAAAAAAAAGCCAGAAAATGACAAGAGGAAAAAGTCATGTTGCCTCAAGGGGAGGGACGAGCGAGACGACTGGGTGTACTCACCCGGACAACCACCACTTGCACAGAGACGTGCTCAGGAAGGCGGATCGGAGCTCTGAAGTGCATGGCCAGGGAGACAAGAAGGTGGAGGATGGCCACCAGGTTCTTTCCATGGATGGCTTTGAGCGAGGAGAGAAGGAGCGAGACATCTCTGGTTAGATATTACAGGAACCCGGGCTCCTCACCCCTACCCCACCCCCATGCAAAGGGCGGCATCTCACAGAGACCTCAGAGGCAAGGACAGAAAGACAGAGCTGACGTGCATCCCAGAGAACTTATTTCCAGCTTCTAATTTTTTCTTTCCTGTTGGCTGAAGGTGACCTGTGCAACCACTTTTGAAAGCATCGTGTTTTTAAAAGCAGAGAATTGGGGGTTGGAGGGAGAATGTCATGACCACACTCTCGCCACAGTGATGTGTGTCATTATCTTTGGCGCTGGGCAAGCGTCTCCCTCTATGCAATCAGCCATCCCGATGGGGGTTGGCCGGCAAGAGTAAATGCTGCTCTGGGATGCCAGATGTTAACTCCTGCCCTGCGCACGTCCAAGCCTAAGTCCATCCCTGGCTGTCCTCCCCTACTCGTTTCTCTTCCCTGAGCACAGGCTCCTCGGCGTCATTAAAATCACCATCTCTGGGCAGGGCTTTTCCATTTACAAGGCTCTCAATTCCCCACCCACAGCAACTCGAGAGGCAGGCTGGGTCTCTCTAAAGTCTCATGGCAAGAAACCAGGAGCAGGGCCAGGTCTCCACCCCACAGCCTAGAGCTCGGCTCACCAAGCCCCCGGCCCCAAGCCAAGCAGGGGAACCTCTGAAGCCACAACCCACCTTCCCTAATGGTGGTGGTGCGGGGAGGGGTGTGAACAGGACAGAGAATGGTCCGGCTTCTCCAGGTCAGCTCATTCCCTTCCACTAGTGTCTTGGCTGGGAATACTGTGATGTCACACCCCCCTCAAGCCAGAAAACTTGGTGACACATTCCAGAGGCTGTCATGAGTTCCTGGGTCACCAGTAGAACGGCTCACTAAGTATTAGTGCCCATAGGTGTTTGCATCTTGGTCTGACAAGAACTCCTCAGGGCTGTTTCTGCCTCCAAGGTCTCCCTGATCTGTCCAGCCAGAAACAACTCTGAAGCATGGGCGAGCAGGACATTGCCACATGAGTAAGTCCCTCCACTGTAATCCCTCACCTGACCTCCACGACCTGCTCTCCCTGCCCTGCCACCCACACAGCAGGAGGGAGTGCTCATTTTGAGTCGCAAGGCCATATTCCATGATGGATGACAATGTGGAAAGACAGAGGGTAGGTTCGTCCCAAGCACTCCCTCCCCCAGCGGCCACTCACCGTCCACATTCCATCTCAGTGCCCAGCCGTGGGGCCGCAGCAGGTCATGCACGGCTTCTAGAACCGTCTGCAGTTTCTGTTTCTGCCCTATCTCAGACTGTGTCACCTCAGCCACATTCAGCTTGCGGTCCGCCAGTTTTTCTGCAAGGACAAGGACAAGCGCAAGAAGCAGAGCATCAGAGAAAGCCTGGTCACCGGAGGGGAGGTGCCTGGTCACCAGGCTGGAGTGGTGGGCTGGACCTGCCCACCAGGGGTGGGGCAGGTCAACATGAAACACGGGCAGAGTGGTGAGATGCTAAGCCAAGGAACTCTGAACCCCGATCCTTGAGGCCATTTTTACTCCTGAGAAAATTACCCCAGAAGGAAAAAGGGGACACATTTAAGGATAAAATGGTGTTGACGTGGAACATTCTATGCACACAAAGTGTGGGAAAAAATCATTTAAGATGCAGCGTAGTAGTTTACATCTGTAATCCCAGTGCTCTGAAAATAAGAAGGTCACAAGTTCAACGTCAGCACGGGCTACTTAGTGAGACCCTGTCTCAGAAAAACAAAACAGGACTGAAGACATGGCTCAACAGTGAGCACCTGCCTAGCAAGGCAAGGGTGAAGCCTTAAGTTCAAACCCCACTGCTGCCAAAAAGAAAGAAAAGAAAAAACAAAAAAGATGCTGGAGGGGGAGCAAGGAAGTTATCTAGGAGGTCAGGGAAGGGAGCAGAGGTGAGGAGGGCAACCCAGTGAGACCCCAGAAGGAGGAGGAGTTTGATAGGAGACTAAAACACTGCTCTACAGCTGCCTTCTGCCTCCCTGCACACCGAGGCTCCCATTCTCGTTCCTCTCACATTCTGACACCACAGGAAAAGGTTTGCTTAGATATTTGCAGAATGGGTGACTATGCTATTTCCAAGAGCAAGCAGGAAACACTGTGGAGGAGCCAGGACAAGAATTGTCACATCTGCTCAAGATTCAATTACTAAGACAGAGGTCCAGCCGTGGCTGTGTGCCTCCAAGTCCCCATGGGAGGGGACAGCACAGTGGGTGAGGGAAGTGACCACAGATGGCAGCCAGGGTTCCATGCTCTGGATAAAGGCAGCATGGCCGGAGACCTAATTCCCTCCTCATCTTTCATCCCAAGATGCAGTGTTTCCCGACAGATCTCTGCCAAACAGCAAAAGCCCAGCACAGGGCATGGCAAGACTACTCCTGGGGAGATGATTACCATGTGCTCAGCTCAGGCAGATGTGCTGCAGCCCTCGGTACAGAGCTGCTGTCAGTCACACGGGCACAGAGGAGGATCAGGACTGCCGTCCAGTCTAGGCTGGCCACATTGGGCTTCCATTCTGTCACACAAAGTTCTGTTGACTGCATTTTAGCCGGGGTCCCAGGTGACTTCAGTGTTCTTGCCCCAGTGTCCTCCCCTCCCCCAGTCAGGAGAACAAGCTGTTCCGGTGTCCCCTGCAGGACAAGGTAACAATACAACAATGCCTGCTGGGCTCCAGACATCCCTCCGATCACTCGTTCATCCATTCATTCCATCATGAAAGCTACTGACCACATGCTACGTGGAAGACACTATCCTACGTACTGGACAGGCGTGGATAAGAGAGGTCCCAAATTGGGTGACAGACAGGGTGAGTGATGACCAAAATGGGCGTGACTAGAATAAATGATGTCCAGGTGGACAGAGGTGAGTGGCAGAGGATAAACAAAGCCACCCTCCAGAACACGCCTAAGTGGGGGAGATCTATTCCTGATTCCAGTTTGATTTCCCCAACCTGGGTCTGACAGCTCCCAGCTGGACAATCCACAGCCATCTGTCTGTGACCTGACACTGAAAATACCCAGCAAATCAAGCCACAGGTGCTCAACGACCAAGGACAGTGCAGAGCAGGGGCTCTGAGGATGGCAGGAAGGGGGTCAGATGGGGCTCGGTGGTCCCAGAGCCCAGTCCTCCAGGAAAGATGGGGCGCCCACGTGCCCTCCTGTCTCCTGGCCACCATCTGACTTACAGACCGAACACGTCATATCACTGGGGCAGAGGAGGAAGAGGCAACAGAGAAAGGAAAGGAACTGCATCCATCAGGTCAGGCTGCGTAACAAAGGACAACAGACCCCAAGGATTCAATCCCATAGTCCTAGGGACCATAAATCTGAGGTCAAGGTGTCACAGGGCTGGCTCCTCCCAAGGCCTGTCTCCTTTGCTCATAGGTGCTGGCTTCTCCCTGTGTCCTCACATGGTTTCATCCCTCTGTGTGCACCAGTGTCCTCATCTCTTCTTATAAGGACACCAGCCATATTGGATTAGGGTCCGCCCATGACCTCATTTACCTTACCTACCTCTAAACACAGGTTCCAAGGTACAGGGGTTATTAGGCCCTCAATATATGAACTTGGGAAAGCACAATTCAGCCCATACAAAGCCCGAGGAGAGTTCCCAGGGTCTCAGTGATTCTCCACGTGGCTTGGAATAATGGCCACATCACCAGGCCATTGCTCTGTCCACTGCTGGGGCTGTGGGAGTAGCTTGGGGTCATGTCATGGCTGGGACCCCATCTTACCAGCATGGAGAAAAAATAAAAAGTTTGGGTGATTCTCACGTGAAGGCCCAACACAGGACTGTGCACACATGGGGGGACGGCCTAATCTGAAGGGGAAAGGTGTACCCCTGAGCTGGGAATAGGATCACAGCTGGCCCAGAAGTCCCACTCTGTCTGTAACAGTCTGCCTTGAGAATTTTACTCAAACACAGCAGAGCTATGGCCACAGAAACCTGGTCTGTGGCAGGGAATCCAGCAGCTGCTTCCAGAATCTATTCTAGGGAAGGGGGACTTATCTAGGGTCTTCTGGTGACTCACCCTTGATGATCCCCACATGGTCAGTGCAGAGGCCCACGCTGTCCTTATCACTACTCCCACCTACCTGAAACCCCTCTTCCATCCCCCTGCAGGGGTTCCTCCCTTGTGGATATCTCATCAGGCCCCTTTGCTGGCACCTCTTTTGCCTCATCCTTCCTGGCTGGCAGCCCAGAGCCCAGTCCCCAAACCTCTCTACTACAGATGCACAGAAATCAGCACGCACCTTGGTGTTCAGCCAAAATTCCTTAGTTGGTTTGGAAAACCAATGAGCCGAATGCCTACATCAAGGTCATTCCTGGAAACCCTGGGCTCAAGAACCATGCGGGTCATCATTACATCTCACCAGGGTGACGTCACCCACACAGCCAAGCAAGGCATTCTATGTTCTGTGAATATCTGAACATTCTCCTCCACTGTTCCTTTTTCCACTTGACACACAAGAGGTTTCAGAATTGTGTTCCTGAGAACTGATTAGAGCTATTTAAATGAAACACTAGCCACTCCATGATGAAAAGGCAGCTGGGGCCAGAGTGAGCCTCACATTACACTTTGAAGATAGTAAAAGCAATGTAGCCTGCAGGACTCATTCACAACCACAGTTCTGAACCAGAAATTCCAAGTAAATTTTTCCCATTTTCTGGGGCCAACTGAAGAGGAAACCAAAAGGATGTGCCCAGAGAGGTCAAGAACACCTGCTCTAAAAGATGGCTCTGTGGAGATGGCATTGTTGATAGCCAACCATGGCAGACACTGATGCAAATTCAGAGTCTGTCCTATGAAGTCCAGCTACAGAATTCCACAGCCATATTGTAAGGCCTATGACACCTTTTTTTCAAGAGATGGGGCGAGCGAAGCCACAGGTACAGGCAAAAGGATCAGAAGTAGAAAATGTCAGTGAGCTCAAGCTTGCTTCTGAAAATGTTTGTTACAAGGTATCTGTTTCAAGCACCCAGAGAAGCACCAACTCCAGGCACTGTTTCAATAAACAAGTATGGCCACCACCAGACAGGCCTCCAAGTCCAAGGGCTGAAGAGGATCCAAGACTACCAAAATCAGTTCTCAAGGAAAGAGGAAAGATGACAAACCCATGGCAGAGCTGCACCAGCCCTGGGGACAATGTCAGGCAAAGGTCAGAGTGCTCCTGGCTGAAAGTGAGCATCCACCATCTGAGATGTCAGATATCCAGATGGAAGACCAGGAGAGCAACTAAGAGTCAGTGTCCCCTTCATTCACAGCAAGCCACTACAGTGGAAAACATCAAAGCGCTGGCATGTTTTATAATAAAATCGTGATAATTGTAAGACAATCTTCATTCACATTTCAGCTTTATTCTTCACGGGACTTTATTCTGAGATGGAGATTCTCACCTTAACCAAACAGACATACTAATTCTTGGCCACTTGGTGTTCAGCCAGATGACAAATTGGAACACCTTCCCACGTGATGCTGCCTCTGGTCACATGGTGTCGAGCATCACCTCTGCAGCCGAGCCAGACACCAGCAGTGGGCTCCAAGACAGGCAGCCCCATCGCAGCTAAGTAACACCAGCTTCTCATTCTTCACCCCCCACACCGCTGCCAAGGCTCCCCTGTCCACTGGTTGTGCAGGCCATGAACGTGGCTGCCAGCCTCCATTCCTCTGGCAGCTTCACCCTCCAAAATATGTGTCCCAATTTGCATTCCACCCTGCCTGGAGCTGCTGCATCTGATTCCCAGGCTGCAGGAAGAACATCGTGATTCACACCCCAGTTCCCACTCCTGACCCTCCACCCGTCCACGCTGCACCCAGAACCTGAGTGACCTTTTATAGCTCCAACTTAGATTGTGTCACGGCCCTGCTCAAATCCTCCAGTGGCTCCTGTCACATGGAAGAAAAGTCTTTGCTTGCCAGGGCTGGATATGGATGGGTCCATCCAGCTACCCAGCTTCTTCCCATGGCTCTGCCCCCACCTCAGTGTGCCCCCATGCCTGCCTCAGCCTCCGTGAACCACTCAACACGACAGACTCTTCCTCACCTCAGAGCCTTGGCCAAACGCCCTTCCCATGGTCTGTGCAGAGCTCTGCTCAGCTGTGGGCTCCCAAGGGGCTGCCTGACCACCCAACCCTCACCCCGTACCACCACCCGGTACCCCAAAACCCTGCATGATTCTTACCTGTGCTTGCCACTCCCACAGCACCTGTTCATGTTTCAGGCCGAGCCACCCCATAATACATCTCTACCATCAGTCTTCCCTCGCTGGAGTGCTTGCCGGGGCAGGGAGACCCCCTGACCATTTCATTTTTACTGCATCTTTGGAGCCTAAGCCCACACTTAGGCCAGCGCATGTGTGCTCAAGAAACGAATGGACAGACGGATGGATAGATGGATGGATGACCAAAACAAACACACCTACTTTTCCCACAGCATCTACTTTTCAAGAGTGATTGCTCCAACAATCACTCTGTCCTTCAGAGCGAGCTGTGTGGCCCAGGTCCTCCCCACAACCACAGCGGCTTTTCCTCTGTTTATGCCAAGTGCCCAGGGGACAGGGCACAGACACCCTAGTCCTCCCTCCCTGGGCAGGATCCTCTGCTGTCCCAGTTCCCAGAGGTGTCCCAAGAAACGTCTTGTCTGCTCCCCACCGTCGCTCTCTCTCCTGCATGGTGGACCCCACCTCACTCAGTCCTGTTGCTGCTTTGGTAGCCCCTGCCCGGCCGCCCACCTCTGCAGCTGACACCCCTGTTGTAACTGTGGAAGAACCTACAATCCCACCTGAGAAGATGGCTCTGTCCCCAAGGGGTGACTTCTCAGGATGGCCTGCTGGGGACACTGCCCACCAGGATGGGCTTGCCAGTGGGATCCATGAAAGGAGGGGGAGCTGAGTGGAAAAGGAAATATCAGAGAGCGGACCTGACACACAATGCTGGTCTGCTATTGACCTTCAAGGGGAGTGGCACCCACACAGCAGGAAGTGGGAGTTTCCACTTTTAGGCCTGGGGCCCTAAAAACAGCAGTTTTCTGAGGGCTGGTTCCTTCCCAGGTCTCGGTATGAAGCCGAGGTCCAGTGGACCCAGGCAGATGTTCGTCTCTCCCTTCACTGTCTATTCCTGCAGAAGGAGCCCCCAGTCACTGAGACTGTGGGATTCTTCTACCGAGGGGGACTTGGGGACCAGCCGGGAACAGGGCAGCAACAGTCCCTGCTCTCTCTTCCTTTTAACTAGCACTTAGTGACTACAGACCCGTGCCAGGCCATGCTAAGTGCTCTGCATCAGTTACACAGTGTAGAACTTTGTCCCAGGTGACAACATAAAAAGAAGCCATTGGCAAGCACAGCCTCCACTCCCCACCCTCCCCCCACCCCACAAATGATTCATTTCAAGTGCAAAGTCCACTGTCTCAGGATCCTCTGCAATGAGGATCCACCCCAAGCCCTGTGCCACCCATGACCTCCCCAGGTGCCAAACCAAATGGTGAACACATTTGCACAGTGCAGAGAAATCAGGGTTGCAGGACAGGGGACTCATTTTTGTTGTTGTTCTTTGTTTAAATAAAAATATGACAGCGTGTTTGCACAAAGATGTGAGTGTTTTAAGAGGGAAAATGGTTGTGGAAAAGATGGACACAGGAGCCACAGCCTAGAGAGGCCAGAGACAAAGAAGAAATTCCTTCCTCGAGGAGCACAAAACTCAAGGAAGCAACCCATTAGGCTTAAAGCCAAGGATTGGGTTTCTGCAACATTTTCACTGCAATATTATTAGTAAAAAAAAAAAAAATACTGCAAGCTAAGTGCCCACACATAAAAGACTGGGCGAGCACACTAAGGAATGTTCACATGGTAGAGTAGTATGCAGCAGTGAAAATGAGTAAAGATGCTCACTACATGGAAGATCTCCAGGACACATTGCTGCAAGAGCTGGGATCTTGAGGATCTCCTGAGGCCCATTGCTGTAGGCTTGGTCTCAGTGTGAGGTGCTGGAATTTTGGGAGGAACCTAGGTCACTGGGAGCATGCCCTTGCAGGGGAGAGTGAGACCCTGGCCCCTTCCTCTTTTTCTCTTGCTTCCTGGGCATGAAGTGGGTGGGCAGTTTTACTCCCACCATGGTGTGCTGCCCACCACCGGGGCAACAGGCCTGATCAACAGCGAACTTGAACTTCCAGAACTGTGAGCCCAAGTAAACCTTTTCTCTATTCTTTACTGATTTTTTTTTCTTGGTGGTACTGGGATTTGAATTCAAGGCTTTATGCTTGTTAGGCAGGTACTCAATTGATTGAGCTCAAACCTTTTCTCTTTTTAGTTTGATTGCTTCAGGTATTTTGTCATGCTGATGAAAAACTGACTAACAAAATTATTAAGTGAAAAAAGCAAGGTGTACAAAAGAATACATAGAATAGGCCACCTTGTGTATAAGAGAGAAAGGGAAATTGTGTGATTGTGTGTGTGTGTGTGTGTGTGTGTGTGTGTGTGCACTAATTTCTACAGAGAAACACAGGAAGAATGAGTGAGGATCCAATGAAAATGGATGCCTGGGGGTATGCTGGAGGAAGGAATCACAACAGGACTTTTCCAGGGAAACCATTTTTACAGTCTTAATTTTTGAGTCGTGTAAATGCTTTGTTTCAAAAATAATATAAAATGAAATGTAAATGTCCACTCCAAAACTGAACGCAAAGTCAAATTCCTTTGACTGTACATCAAATGGTGTGACCAGTCAAAGTCCCCAAGGAAGGTTCTGCGCCCACGCTGGCTGCCCTCCGTGCATGCACCTAGTGGGTAGAAATAACGGCAGAGAAACCCTGTGCAGACTCAGGCATTCTTGGCCTTTGGCCAAGGTCAAGTGTATTACTAGGCATGCTTGTAGAGGATACGGGTATCGGTACAGGAATTCTGAAGCTATTTTTGTGTAGTATCAGGTAGGAAGAGTATAAATGTATTTTTTAGTATATGGATACAAAGTGGGGGAAGCTAAGGGGAAACTTGAAGTGTTAAACCAGCATTAGAGATATCAGTGCACACTCACAATTTAAGTATATACACACATATGTCATATATACGTTTCCCAGCTCTTGTGATGACAGAGCCTGCCACAACAAGCACCCACAGGGGCCAGGTTCCGATATCTAAGTACCCTCTCCCCTCCGTAAAATAAGAGTCCATCAGCCCATGTGTGTCCCCAAAAAAGGAAAAGGGAGAGGGAAACTTATTTACAGAAGGAAATACTAATAGACAAGGAGAGCCTAATGATCACAGAGAAATCACTATTTTGTGCCCCAGCATGGTAACTGACCTGGGAAAGGAGCATTAGTGGCGGCCAAGGTCATGGACAAAAGGCAGTGGGTGGACAGGACACATGGTCTCCAGGTGCCACCAAGCAACTTTACAATGAAACGTCTGTTGGCTCCACCGTAATTAAGGGAAAAATCTTTTGCAGACAGCCGGGCACTGTGAGCACTTCCAAGTACGTAATGGGGACACGAGATGGACTCTGTGCCATTGATAGCAAAAATGCCAGGCCCAGATATAATCATGAGAAAATAATCAGACAAACCCAGATGGCCCCATCCTCTCCTGGGACCTTCAAAATGTCATAAATGGCAGAACAAAAGAGAGAGAGGAAGGCGTGGGAGGCAGACGAAAGGAGTCAACGACAACATGACAAACAGGACATGCGGTTGAGTCTTGGATCAAGACAAGAGGCATTTGGGAGACAGCTGGACACTGGGTCACTCAGCCCAGCCTCAGGGTTGTTGTGGGAAGCAGCTGTGACAATGCACGGGTGTCTGACCCAGCCCATACCTGGGGACACCCGGTAAACAAGTGAAAGAGAAGCAGCCTGAAGGCCTATAGAGCTTACACCCTGTCATGAATGGCAAGACTCAGGGCTCCAGTGTTCTCTTCAGTCAAAGGATGACAGCAATCCTGTCTCCTACGACCACTGTGACAACCGGATATGACAGCTCATGTAAAGGGCTTACAGCATGGCAGGGACCATGAGCTGCCAGTCTGGAGTCCAACATCCTCAAGCCGTTCTCCTTCCTCATCACTGAACCTTCTCTTCCCATTGTTTGCCTGGCAACTCCTCACTCATTCCCAGTGCCAGACCTCAGTCCTTGGCAAGAGGACCTGAGCAGATGTGGGTCCTCAGAACCCAGAGCACCCATTACAGCCCTTATCACAACTGCATCCAGCAGCCCTGGGATTGTTCCGTAGATGCCGTCTTGTCAGTCAGCCTGCTCCACAAGCACATGGAGATGTCTGTCTCACAGGTCACTGTGTCCCTCACACCCGTGCTTGAAGAGACTCATTAAACATTGGATGAATAAATCAGTGAGCATTCACCCACCCACCCACCTCCATCAGTCAGTCTTAGGAAGACCACTACAGCATCCTCAGTCAGGGAACAGTGGCTCAAAGGGTAGAGCGCCTGCCTAGCAAGCATGATGCCCTGAGATCAAACTCCATTATCAGAAAGAAAGAAGGAAAGGAGAGGGAAGGAAAGAAGAGAGAGAGAGAGGAGAAAAAGAAAAGAAAACAAGGACAATAAAACCCACCCTCCATGAGGAATCATAAGCTACGATTTCCCATTTCCCTGGCATGTGATCACTCACAGGTGTCTGTTGAGGACCCATCCCTCCTGCCACCTGCAATTGTGACATGAAGGTGTTCACAGTGGGACAGGGTCGGGGCCAGCATAACGACTGACACCGTGGGAAATAGCTCTTACTCATGCCCCATCTCCTGCCTTCCTAGAAAGGACCACCTCACAGGACAGAGGCTTCGACCTCCTGCAACCTCACGAGAGAACAGAGTCCGTGAAGCCACTGCAGGGACCTGGGAGGGCATGCACTGCGGCTTTAGGTCCTTTCCTAGGACATGTGCCGAGGCCACCCTACTGAGGACAGTGACTCACCCAGGAGTTTCTGCAGCACCTGGCCGTCGTACAGGTCTTCCTCCAGCTGCCTCACAACAATCCTCTCTTCTGCCAGCACATCGTTGATCCAGTCCAGCAGGGCCTGGGACACAAGAGGCAGGCATCAGGCTTGACCAGCCAGTGAGCAAGGCCACGGACAACGTCATGGCCAGAGCAGGGCTGACACCACAATGGCTGCTGGATAAGGTCCTGGCGACTGTGGGTGGGAGAGAGGCCTCTCTCAGGCAAAGGCCAGGGCAGGAGTGGGGCTCAATCTGACCCCAGAGAACCAGGACTCCAGGGGTAGTGGGGAGAATCCAGGCTCTTCCCTGCTGGGGCTGTGGGCGAGGAGGCAGCTCACCCCGTGCCCAGGTGGTTCACCAATCACCTGGGCACGGGGTGGGGGGGAGCAGGAGGCAGCTAAATGACCAAGTGATGTTAAGAGACAGGAAAGGAGAACACGGAACACCCCATAACCCCCCCCATCTGTGCCACAACCATGCAAGTCACCCTGAGCCTCCCGCTGGCTGGTGTGTGAGGTTCCCACGTGGCCCTGCCGTTGGTGACTGGCTTGGGCACTGGCTCTCCGAGGCACTTTGTAGACATTTTGTCAAGAGAGAATCCACCACCACCCAGCTCAGTGGGCCTTAGTCTAATCACACAATTGTGCAACCAGCCATCACCCAGCCCATTCTAGAACACCTTCAGCTCCCTAAACGGAAGCCACCAGCTCCTGCTCACAGGTGGATGGCGCTCTCCACACCCCTCCCACCCCAAATCTGTCTCCTGTCCCCATGCACCCATGAGTCCTGGACTTTTCATGCCAATGGTTACACATCAAGGTTCCACCCTAGCACACGTCCTTCTTCCTGTGGCTGAACCCGCCGTTGCTGTGTCACACCTTGTTTATGGCTCTCTAGTTGCTAGCTTTGTGATGGTGAACGACGCTGGGTGGGCATTCACGTCCACGTTTTTGTGTGGGTTATGTCTCCACTGTCTCTACGCAGCCTTCCTCCTCAGCCCTTCTCAACATGGGCTCCATGCAGGAAGCTCACGTGTGTGCGTGGCCGTGGGGCCTGGGACAGAACTCTCCTCGACAGTGCTGCCTGTGGTGCCCGCTCCCCACAGGACAAAACAGCCGAATAAAACAACCTAACCCGTCCCACTGACCTGTGGGAAATGGCAGTTTATGGCCCATTCTTGGGGTGAGCCAAGGGGCACAAATCCATAATATTCTGTTCTCAGTCACTCTTTGCAACAGTACCTAAAAAACTAGCTAGCATTTGTTGCCCTCAATGCAGAGAAACTAAAGCAGATACCTTAAAGCAACTGAGGCCAATAGGAAAAGGGGAACAGGTACTAGAGAAAAGGTTAGATCAAAAAGAATTAACCTAGAAGGTAACACCCACGCACAGGAAATCAATGTGAGTCAATGCCCTGTATAGCTATCCTTATCTCAACCAGCAAAAACGCTTGTTCCTTCCTATTATTGCTTATACTCTCTCTACCACAAAATTAGAGATAAGGGCAAAATAGTTTCTGCTGGGTATTGAGGGGGTGGGGGGGACAGGGAGGGGGCGGAGTGGGTGGTGAGGGAGGGGGTGGGGGCGGGGGGAGAAATGACCCAAGCCTTGTATGCACATATGAATAATAAAACAATTAAAAAAAAAAAAAAGAAAAAAAGCTGGGCATGAAAAAAAAAAAAACAAAACAGTTACGACCTGCAAAATTGGCCACAAAGCAAATTTCTGTGAAGGATGCACTGCTTCCCCACTGGCTTCGAGGTGCAATCAGACACAGTCCCTGGAAGGACAAAGGGAAAGTGAACCAAAGGCAGGTTGGGGACCCAGGAGGCGCAGGGGTCTGTGGCACCCAGAAGCGTTAAAGTCATCTCTAAAAGGACACGAGGACAGAGCTGGTGCCCTCCCCAGCCCCTCCCTGGCCCTCTCCAGAGACAGTGGAGGGAAAGAGTGTGGCCTGGGTGTTCCCAGGCTGGGCCACCTCCCTGTCCTCCCCTCTCCAGCCCTCTTTCATCCATCACCACAGACCACCACACTTGATGGCTCCTACCTTCTCTCCAGCCATCCCTGCCATCCCCTCTGGGGAGGTTCTCATTCCCTGTACCCTCCCAAGGCCAGCTGTTGCCCTCCCATGACCTCTGACACCAGTCCTAACCCAAAAGCCTCTAACCACACAGCCCATCTCTGTGAAGTTCTGCGAGGGTCTCCAACTGAACAGCAACCCCCAAATGGCTCCTCTTCTAGGAGGGAAAGAGGAACACCATCTGTGAGCCTCAGGGGCCTGCACATGCCCTCTCAGTCCACTTCTTTCCATTTCCTGACTGGATCAGCAAATCGCCAGCTTCCTCCTGTGCAAACCTTGCCTCTCCCTGGGCTGCTGCCACAGCCATCAACCCACCCGAGTGTCCTGCCTCCTCCTGGTGTTCTTCCACACACCCAAGCTCCGGTGCCTCAGGGCCTTTGCACGTGTCATTCCTTCCACCTGCACACATCCCCTCCCTCACTGCCTGGCCAGCTCTCACTCATCTTTGGATCTTGTCCTCAGGTGTCCCATCCAGTCCACATCCCACATTTCGGTTGCCATGGCTCCCAACACCTTCCCTCTAACCCTCTTCACTTGTGCAATGGGGACAGCTCTTGCCCACAGACCTTAAGGACAAGAGCAGGAATTAATACATCTTGTTTGTGGCTGTGCCCCGGTGCCTGCCACCTGGCACTGCAGCTCAGTAAGCAGCACTGAGTTAATTTACTGAGCATTGACAACACACCAGGCTCTGGAAACAGGAAAGACAGATGAGGCCTCTGCCCTGAGCCCATTCTAATCAGAGCTTAAAAACACATGCAAGCCAGGTGCCGGGGCTCACGCCTGTAATCCTAGCTGAGATTGGGAGGATCGTGGTCTGAAGCCAGCCCGGGCACATAGCTCTCAAAGACCCCTATCTCCAAAATAACCAGAGCAAAATAGACAGGAGATGTGGCTTAAGTGGTAGAGTGCCTGCTTTACAAGTGTGAAGCCCTGAGTTCAAATCCCATACCATTAAAAAAAAAAAAACAAGACACAGGCACGCACTCTCAGGGAATAGCCACCCATAGATCTTCACAGTATTCTTTTTGAGACAGGGTCTTGATATGTAGCCCAGGCTGACCTTGAACTCAAGACCCTGCTGCTTCAGTCACCCAAGGACCGGAGATGGCAGGTATGGACCACCACGCCCAGCTACTTCAGTTTTTCTGTAAATCAAAAACTATTCTAAGAAGTAAAGTCTATTTAAAAAAAAAAAAAAAAGCCAGAGGCAGTAGGATCACAACTTTAAAGCCAGCCTGGGCAGTTATTAAGACCCAATCTCAAAACCAAAATACAAACAAAAGGGCTACGGTGTGCCTCAAGTTGCACTGTGCTTGTCTAACGAGTGAGAGGCTCTGGGTTCAGTCTCTGAAAAAGGCAAGTGTGGGGCTGGCCAGGGAGGATGGGCCACTGGGAACTGGGCCCAGGGCCTCTGAGCAGAGATGGGAAGGAAGTGGGCGGCAAACCGTGGGGACCCGAGGGAAGAGCATTCAGTCAGTGACCTGGTCCTAGAGACGGAGATAACAAGGAAGGGGAGGGGCAGGTGACAGAGCTGACCCTGGACTCTCACCAGGCTGGGAGAGGAGGATCTGGAAATGGCTCAGGTCAGTAAGTGACAGGGTGACCTTGCACCCAGGTCAAGAGAGTGGGCATGTCACCCAAGGGCTCTCTACAGCTGGCCCATTTCCCTGGACCCCTGAACTGAAGTCCTGCATCTATGACCCTTGGGGACCTGTTCTGGCCACTAAATGAGGTTTCATGAGTTGGAATTTTTTTTCAAAGTGTGAAATTCAAGTTTAAGAGATAAAAATAAATGGGCAGAGGCAAGGCCGAGGAATCTGAAACACCGTTTGGGTCTTCAGAGCTCTCCCCATAGGGTTCTACTCTCTGGCCAGGTTGGGTCCAGCCTGTCCCTTCCCCTCACCTGCAGAGCACCCCACACAGCCTCTCCTCTGCATGTCAGCCCTCATCAGGTACAAGACTTGTGGGAGTTAATCCCATTCTGGGGATTGCCTTTACACTTTTTTTCTGTCAGTGCTGGGGATGGAACTGGGACCTGGAGTGGGCCTGGCAAGCGCTCTGCAACTGAGCTGCATCCCCAGCCCATTTTTTTTTTTTTTTTTGAGATGAGGTTTTGTGATATAGCCCAGGCTGGCCTTGAACTCACAATCCTCCTGCCTCAGCCTCCTAAATAACGGGGATTATAGGCATGCACCACCACCCCGCTTCTTTGTGCTTTCTTATATCACCTTTTGAAGCAGGAGTTTTTAATTTTGACTCAGTGCAAGTCACCTGTTTTTCTCTTTGTTACTACACCTAAGAAATCAGAATCTAAATCTGAGTAAATGAGGAGGATTTACCACCGTGCTTTCTTAGAGTTCCATGTTTCATTCCTACCTTGAGGATTGCAAATCACATAAAGTGCTTCCTTTGAGGGGAAAGGTGAAACATCTCCACTTAAGGAGGAAAAGGTTGCTACGATTGGTGAGGCCAGAGCTGCTGTGAGATTCTTAAGAGGAGAAAGATGTTCAGGCTTGTTTTTCTCTCTCACCTCCGACTGTAAAAGTTAGAGCCACAGTGGGTATGACTGTCTGGTCAGAGTAGGAAAGACGTTCATTTGCAAGGTTTGGATCTATCTGCGGGACCAAGCAACCATGGTGGCCTTAGTGTGTCTCTCTTGAGGCTGAGAAGAAAGGTTCAATGTGCCAAGCCTCACCTAGGCGGTGAGGCTATAAAGAAACCCCGCAAAGTCTCCGCCCAGAAAACAGCTGAGTTGTCTCAGGTGTTACGCTGGGAAGGCAGCGGGCGTCGAGGGTGCAATGGGGTGCCAGGCCCCCCAGTCTGCCCACAGCTATGAGAAACAGTTGGTCCCTCCACACTGGGAGCCAAACCAAGGAGTTTCAAAGGCCTATGAGGACATACGCCAACATGCCACCTCTGTGACTGTGTCTCTGACCACTCTCCTTCTAGCTCACTAGGCTCTAGCCACACTGCCCATCTCACTGGCCCTTAAAACAT